TATTTTTTCCAGAAAAGGAACCAACAAAACCTATATCTTGCTGGCATTTGCCGACGCCCTCTTCTCTCCCTCTGGGGTGTGTGTGTGTAAGTGCTGAGCAGGGAGGCGGCGTGGTGAGGGCGGAAGCTCTCACTTGTCAGCTCCTTGAAGACCAGGGCACCGTGTAATTCAGCCTTTTACTGTTCAGTGTCTAGCACAGTGTCTGATCATAGTAATAGGTGCTTAACCGAGATTTCTCAAATCAACGGTTGATGCAAAGACCCTCCGACAAGAGTAGATTCTCTTCGTTGGGAAGACAGTCAAGTTCTCCTTTAGGACAGCGGAAACCCAGTTACTCCTCTCTTCTCCCTGTCACCCCACCTCCCCCTTAGGTTCCTTGAGTGAGACTCTAATTGAGTCAGGGAGCAAAGAGAGGAGGGGAAGCACATTTTGGGGGCCATTACTCCCCTAAACAGCTATATTATGGATGGTCGGTTTGCTTCATAATCTTGAGGGAGCTTGGCCCTCCATGCACTGGGCCCACTCGCAGATCCCCCTCGACATGGAGCATCTGCGGACATCAAGCCTTCTGGACTGGACAGCTCCTGTCTGCCGGTGCTCACGGCCGGCTCGAAAGCTTTTGTAGAACACCCGGCCTCCTGTCATTCCTTGCTTCACCCCAGAGTGGGGCAACGTCTTCCCAGTGGTGTTGGTGTGTCTGAAAAATGTCCCAACGAAATCCCAGTAGCCTCCTCAGCTGTCACAGCGAGCAGGCTTCTCTTCTGGAAGGGGAGTAATTGTAATGGCACTTAGATGGTACTGTGTCCTAGGCATTGTTCCAAGGGCTATATATTTAATAACTCGTTTAAACCTCAGCACCACCCTGTGACGTAGATTCAATTATTATCTCTAAATAAAGATGGGGAAACCAAGGCACAGAGAGTAAACGACTTGCCTAAGTTCATACAGCTACGGAGAGATCTAGCTGAGAGTAGAGCCAGACAGCTGTGCTCCTGAGTCCACGCCTTTAACTCCCACATCCAAAGCTCTGAGTGGGGCCCTGGCCAGGTTTCTCAGTTGGTTGGAGCATTCTTCTGTACACCAAAAGCCTGCGGGTTCAATTCCCCATCAAAGGCAACGTATTAATGTTTCTCTCCCTCCCTCTCTTTCTCTCTCTCTCCTTCTTCCTCTCTCTCTAAAATAAAAAAAACATGTCCTTAGGTGAGAAAATAAAATAAAAAGCTCCTAGTGGGAATGGGGGGAGCGGTTAAGCCTGGCCTTGCCTCTTCTTGTGTCTTCATTTGAGCCCTGAGTGAGAGATGTCCTTCTTTCTACTGTCTGATTCACTGTGACCACTTTTCATCCTTCCTTAATGTGAGTGTCTGGGGCCTGAAGCCACACGCTGGCAGGTGTATACGAGAGAGAGAGAGAGAGAGAGAGAGAGAGAGAGAGAGAGAGAGAGAGAGGACATGATTACACTTCATCGTATAGACACTGAGGTCCTCCCAATAGGGTCTCCTAAGATGGGTGTGTGTGGGAGCTGGTAGAGGACCCAGTGCTGGGTGGTCAGAGCATGTGATGACAGTGCCAGGGGATCAGGAGTGCAAACACCTCTGGAAAGTAACTTTCCACTCACCTCTCTCACCCTCCATGCATCTTTTCTTGCTTCTAATGTGATCTTGGTATTTATGAAGATGATAAACAGATCACGCCCTCTGAAGATGGAAGGTAGGAAGACCCCGCTGCCCTGTTGATCTCATTACTCTGTGTCTTGTCAGCAGATCTGCCGCCCTGCTGCTCATTTAGGCTTGGGGCTAATCATATTAATTGAAATATTAAACATTCACAAAAATGAATTATAATGAACTCCCCTTACTCCTCCTCTCGTCAGCAATTGGAGAGTCAGCTGCCAGCAGCATAATGCCTCTAATCCTTCTCTTTGTGGTCCCCAGACAGAAGGGTTCAGTCTGGGAGGAGAGGCAGGGTTTAGGGGAGAAGAGGTGGGATCGCTCATCAAGCCCTCTTTGCTGTTTTCCTCCAAGCCCTCAGGGAGGGGAGCCCTGTGAGGTAAAGACTGGGGGAAAACCCCACTGACTTAGAGGCCCGTTCTGGGGAGTTGCTCTCCATGAGCAGAAGAGGCTTCAAAGCCCTATTCCCCCAAGGTGCTTTCTCTGCCCACCATCCCCAAGCCCACCCTCTTTCTTGTTCCTCTGAATTCAATGCTAAGTTGCCCTACATAAAAATGTTATCTTAATTGAATTTATTGGGGTGACATTGGTTCACAAAAAAAGATTACTTACTTTGTAAAGGGAAAATTCACTCCTGGTTTTAGATAATCAGGAAATGAGAAATGCTGAATAATTGGGATATTTTTCAGGTAGGGCAAAATGTAGTGGTGGCATATATGGACAGAGTGGCTAGTTACCAAATACTTGCTGGCTTCACTAATTACTAACAGAGTAAAGACATCTGCAGCAGAAAGTACAAAAAATAATAATTTAACCTTCCTTCCCTCAAGTGGCTTCTACCTCAAATGGACAGGTAGACAGGAGGCCAGCACAGTGTGCAGCAGTGAGGACTGAGATGTGGTTAAGAAAGTAAAAATAGCCTCTCTCATTTACACACACGGGGATTTGGGATTTGGGCCATGGGAAGTGCTCAGTCACGAAAGGCTCGATTGATTCTCAAAGCACAGGAAGATCACAAATCAGCAGAAGAAGGAAATTAATTATTTGTTGTATGGAGGGAGGGATGAAGAGAACGGTGCATGCATGTGCCGGTGTGCATGGGTAGATTTGCCAGTCCAGACCAGCACAGTTTAATGTAATGTAAGACATATATATAATTTAAAATGTCCTAGTAGCCACATTAAAAAAGTAAAAAGACACAAGTGAAATAACTTAAAAAAATTTTTTTTCTTTATTGATTTTAGAGAGAGAGGAAGTGAGAGGGAGAGACAGCAACATCGATGAGAGAGAACATCAATTGGCCACCTTCTGCATGTCCCCCACTGGGGATCAGGCCCACAACCTGGGCATGTGTCCTGACCAGGAATTGAACTGGTGACCTCTTGGTGCATGGGTTGACGTTTAACTGCTGAGCCACACTGGCTGGACTGAAATTACTTTTAATAATATATGTTATTTAATAGATGTATATCCAAAATATTATTCAATATGTGTCTATGATATATCTAAAATATTTTTAAAGTTTATTTTATTATTATTTTTTTTCTTTATTGATTTTAGAGGGAGAGGAAGAGAGAGACAGAAACATCGATGAGAGAAAACATCAATTGGCTGCCTCCTACATGCCCCCCACTGGGGATTGAGCCCACAACCTGGACATGTGCCCTGACTGGGAATCAAACCAGCAACCTCTTGGTGCATGGGTCGACACTCAACCACTGAGACATACTGGCCGACCATATCTAAAATATATATATATATATTTTTATCCTCACCCGAGGATATTTTTCCATTTTTTGTACAGATAGAGTGGGAGGGAGAGAGAGGAAGGAGAGAGAGAGAGAGAAACATCGACGTGAAGGGACACATCGAGTGGCTGCCACCTGCACGACCAACCAGGGCCGGGGACAAACTGCAACCGAAGTACGTGCCCTTAGCGGGAACCGAACCCGGGTCTCTCCGGACCGCAGGCCGACACTCTAACTGCTGAGCCAAACTGGCCAGGGCCATATCTAAAATATTTTACATGTAATCAGCCCAGTCGGTGTGGGTCAGTGGTTGTGGGCCCAATCCCCAGGGAGGGGCATGTAGGAGGTGGCCAATCAATGTTTTCTCTCATTGAAGTTTCTATCTCTCTGTCCCTCTCCCTTCCTCTCTCTCTAAAAATCAATAAAGAAAAAATATATATTGTACATGTAATTAATATAAAGATTAATGTGATACACTACATTCTTTTTTTTTTACTAAGTCTTCAAATCTAGTGTGTATTTTACACTTACAGCACATCTGACACAAACATTTCAAGTGCTCAGTAGGCACAGGTGGCTGGTGGTGACCATGCTGAATGGTACAGTTTTAGAGGTTTCAACATTAACTTCTGGGGGGGGGGGGGACGGAAAGAGACAGGAACTGGCCAACAAGAACTATCACCTCTGATTAATCTCTACTCCTGCCTGAAAAAAAATCACTTTTGACAGATGGCAGCTTATCTACCTCTCACTGTACTAACTCTCTCTCTTAAAAAACACAAACAAGTGACGTGATTACTAACCTGGGTGGGGTTTTTGGGAAGAGGCCTGTAGCCGCCCACCTAATCTGCCTCTTTTGGGTTTTTCCTGACTTGGGAAGTGCCAACATTTTTACTTCTTTTCCTCAGTCTTTGCCAAGAAGGACAGAGGCAGACCACTGAGAGACCCTTCCAAGGTCATGGCCTAATGCAGGGTTTGTTTCTCAGGCACTTTCCTTGCCCATTGGGTAGTTCACAAACCTGTAAAGGCAGCTTCCCTTTGGGCTCTCTTCAGCTTGAAGACCTTCACTGGGCATGGTCCCCGGAGCGTAGAAAGGTGCATATTGAGAGACGGGCTCCTGCCCTTTCCAGGCTGCTATTTTCAGCTTTATGTTTCACTTCCCTTCTTAATTAGATACTAGAAAAACGCATCTTAAAGACCTACTGCCTTTCCCGGCTCTTACTCAATTGGGAATGGGAGAAATAATTTAGAATTTATGAGGATCAAGTTAATCTACGCTTGAAGGTCAGTCCAAGAGGGGAAACTTCTGGCAGGATGTTCCCCCAGGTCCTCTCGAGAATCTTCGTCTGAGAGTGTTCCTTCCTTTGCAGATTCAGCTCACTCCATCCTGTGGGGTGCTTTCGTGTTTTTAAGAATCCAGCGTGTCAATGTCAAGGGTCTACAGGGCAGAGAGGGTTTGGCTTCCGGGCGGGAAGGGGAGAAGCCTGGATTCTTTCTCTACCACTAGGCTTCATCCAGCTTCCGCCCAAGAGAGGGTCAGGAACCAGATTCTGGGAGACTCTTCCTAAGGAATACCGTTCCAGCTTTGCTCTAGAAATAAGAAAAAAAACTATTTGAAGCTGGGGGGCTGTCAAGAAGAAAGGCTTATTGCATATATGATCAAGTCGGAAATCAGTCCTCAACTCTGGGTAAGGAGATCCTTTAGAGACGCTCCTGAGCTCACCCCCGTTTCCGAGACGCCCCACATTGCTTCTCTCGGCTCCGCCAGGCAGCTGGAGCCGGCGGGCTTGGGGGCGGGGCAGGGGCGGCCGGGGCGGGGCCTCACCGCGCGCCCGTCGTCTTGACGACCGTGACAAGATGGCGACGCTGCAGGGCGGGCAGCTGGGGCCTGACCCCGGGGCGCTGAGCCCCGCGCAGTTGAAGCAGCTGCGCGAGTTCAAGGTGGGTGCACCTCCGCCCTCGCCTCCACCCAAGCGCAGCTCCCCCAGGATAAGGGCCCAGTCAGGGAGGAGGACCCGGAGAGAGGGGGAGCCTGTTCCTGATAAAGGGGCGGAAGGCTGGGGGGAGAACCCCAACCCTTGACACGTGCTCCAGGGCTTGAACCCTGAAATCGGCCTCCTCAAGGAGCGTGACACTTTGCTCTTGTCCCCAGATTCAGACGCGGATTGCTAACGAAAAGTACCTAAGAACCCACAAAGAAGTGGCGTTGCTCATAAGTGGTTTTTTCAGGTAGGTGGTATTCCAGACGCACTGAGCAACTGGTGGGAACATTTTACCAAACCTGGGGAGAGATGAGTGCGAGTGACTCCTTTCTTTCAGCACTTCCTACTGCTTCCTGTAGGGTCTGAAAGTTACACAATGTCCTAAGGTTTCATTTTTCCCAACCCTGGGATTTGTGGCACCCTGGGTTGTCTTGAGTTATTCCTAGAGGTTTCCTTTAGTTATCTCTAAACTCTCAAAAATATTCATACTAACCCACTGTAGCTGTAAGGGCAACTATGTACCTTAAGACCCTTGGAAGAAGGAATCCGTCATTGAGAAACTCATAGGTAGACTTTTGGAATAGAACATTCTTCTCCATCAGAGACTCTTAACAAGATCACTCAAACTTTTTTACAAATTCAGGTTTCTGGCCCTTCCCAACCTGAAAACATGGTTGTAGAAAGACTCTGAGAGTTAGGTGTCACTTCTCTGTAAGTCTTAGGGAAGAGACCATTTTCCGGAGCATGTTCTTTCCTTCTCCAACACTTTCAGTGTGGCATTTGTTTGAATAGAAAAATCTCCTAATGGGATAAAAGGCAAACAACTGAGGGGAGAAATCAAGGAGCAGCAACGGATGAAAATAATAGAACTCTCTCAAATACTGTGGCTGTAGACAGACAGGCAAGGTTTAAATAGCAGTAATGGCTTTCATCTGCAGACACTGTGTTGGTTTCCTACAGTAGCAGTTATCACACTGTATTGCGATCGCTTTGTCAATCAATCTTCAGTTTCTCTCCCTGGACCAAAGCTCTAAGCTGGTGGAGCCATGTTTGGTGTCCCCAAAGCCCACACAGTGATGGCATCTTGGTACACTCTTGCTGATCCTCCCAGCGACTCTACAAAAGATAGCTTATTATCATTTCTATTTTACAGGCTCTCAAGTTAAGTTATGAGAAGTGAAGTACCTTCTCTAACTTGCTGAACCAGGACCCAAAGCCCTGGTTTTCCCACTGTGTTGCCTTGTAAGCACATGGGAGCTGGGAAGCTGCCAGTGGGGTTCTCTTTTCTCTTCTCAAAAGAAGACCCGGAGAGGTGTCTTTTTTCCCAGTCCCCTTTGTTTTTCCTAGATTTCAGTATTCTTTATATTTTACATAAAGAATCTACTTGCCATTTCTGCAAGTGGCAGCAGATTCTCAGAGAGCAGGAGTGGACAGAGAAAAGGGAAAACTGAAACCTGTCTGTGAAGGTTGGTTTTATTTGGGCCAAGGGTAAGGCCTGGGCAAAAGGTAGTTTAGAGGGTCCTCTGTGAATGTCAGCCCTGGGGATTAGGCCATCGCTTTTTGTACCCTTTCTTCTAAAGCAGCGGTTCGCAACCTGTGGGTTGCGACCACTCTGGGGGTTGAATGACCCTTTCACAGGGGTCGCCTAAGACATAACAGTAGCAAAATTACAGTTATGAAGTAGCAATGAAAATAATTTTACGGTTCGGGGTGGGGGGCGTCACCACAACATGAGGAACTGTATTAAGTGGTTACGGCATTAGAAGGTTGAGAACCGCTGTTCTAAAGGGAAATAAGGATGATAGCCTTCCTATCCTGGGGAGCTTACAATCCAAGTTAGGACTAATTCCAGCAGGGAGCTTGGAGACAGCTGTTCAGTCACCGTCTGTGTTGTTCACAGACAAAAGAGGGCGCTGTTTTAGTCACATGTCAGGGATGGCCCTACTTCTCTTCCAGGAACTTCCAGGAGCTGGACATCACCTAGCTGCTGCAGGAACAACCCCAGCATCCCTCCCTCCCTCCCTCCCTTCCTTCCTTCCTTCCTTCCTTCCTTCCTTCCTTCCTTCCTTCCTTCCTTCCTTCCTTCCTTCCTTCCTTCCTTCCCCGGGCGAGGAAGGGCCACCAGTCTTCTTCTTTTGCTGTCTCGGAAGCTCCCTACATGAAATCCTCCTGGCCCCTTTTAGGCCTTTCTCTTTCAGGAGTGGAGGTGGGAAGGGGTGAGGAAGTGTTTGAAGTTTGGTTTGCTCTCGTTTGTTTGGCGTTATTGTTATTTCCCTTGGGTCGTGCCAGGATGAACCAGAATCAGCCCCTCTCCTGTACCGGATGCTTCAGATGGTCCTTCCAGAGAAAAAGAGGAAGGGAAAAGAGGGGACAGAATCTTGGGCAGCACATCTGTCTTCACCTGTGGTGTAGGTCTCTGATCTAGGCTCACTCCAAGCCACCAGAAGCTCTGAACTGTTTTTGTTGGGAAGCAAGCGCCCCACTTGGGTTTTCTGATCCTAGTGATTTATGGCCATTCAGCCGCAACTCTCCAGTCTATACTCATACACACAGCGTACAGAACTCCTAAACCTTGGATTCTGAACCTAAAAAATGGGAAGAGTAAGGATCTAACATATTTTAGGCACTCAAGAGACTTCAGGTTTTAGGCTGGAGATATGCTAGCAGAGTGGAATTTTAGAAAGGCTTTATTAAATTTGAAAATACCCAGGCAGATGACTCTTTCTCAGTACGGCACCGATCATATCATTCCTTGGCTGGAAAAATCTTCAGTGGATCCACACCATTGCTTTTTTTTTTTTTTTAACATTCTATTGAGGTACAAAGAATAGAAAAATGGCAAAGCCTGAGCTGGATGAACTTTCACAAGCTGAGAACATGGCACGAGCATCAAGATCAAGGAATAGAACCTGTCCTGGGCAGTTTGGCTCAGCGGTTAGAGTGTCGGCCTGAGGTCCAGAGAGGCGCGGGTTCTGTTCCCGCTAAGGGCACGAACCTTGGTTGCAGTATGTCCCCGGCCCCGGTTGGAGTCATGTGGATGGCAGCCAGTTGATGTGTCTCTCTCACATTGATGTTTCTCTCTCTCTCTTCCCTTCCCCAGCTCTATCTGAAAATAAATGCAAAAATGTCCTTGGGTAAGGATAAACAAACAAACAAACAAAAAAAGAAATACAACCTGACTAGCACCTTAGGCCCTTGGAGGCCCCTTCCAGTCACTTCCCCACAAAATGTAGCCAGCATCCTGACTTCTAACAGTACAGATCTGGTTTGCCCTTATATAAATGGATTCCTACAATCTGGACTCTGTTGTGCCTGGCTTTTTTTGCCCAACAGTGTCTTGTAGATTCCCATTCCCTTTCCTGTATTTTATTCCACCCTGTGGCTGTGCCAGGCTTTCTTTATGCATTGCCACTGTGTTTTGAATTGAGTACAAATGTCTCTCCCTGGCCTTCATGAACCCCATAATAGAGCCTCCTTTGCTTCCCACTACTTCCTTCGTATGCTCCCTACTCCAGCCAGGCTGAACCTTCTTGATCATTCTACTGACCTCACGGAGGGGTGCTGACACTCCCTGAAGGCTATTCTGGACCCCGGGGGTACAGAGGTGGACACATCCTAGTACCTACCCTTGAGGAGTTCACCGTCTATAGGACATGGGCTGTTTTCATTTGAGAGTCTTTGCTCTTGGGGCTTCTCTGGGTCTGGAGTGCTTTTGTCCCTCAGTCCTCGTCCTGCACTGAAATGCCACGAGCACCTCAAGGGTCCTCTCAAGGGCCAGCGCTGTGGGGATTTTTGGGGTCCTGCTCTCAGTGACTTTCTGTCTCTGATCTCCCAGCACACTAATATCCCCCTTGTAGCATTTCCTAGAGGTGGCCTTTTGGACATTTAGGAACACTAATTTCTTTGAGGTGGGGCTATATTTTATCTTTAAAAATATATCAATCTCTCTTACTTAATACAATGATGTACATGTCGTCTGGACACTCTAATTCTCACATTGAACTGAGGGAGAAGAAGGGAAGAAAATTCTTTTTTTTTTTTTTTTTTTTTATCCTCACCCGAGGACATTTTTCCATTTTTTGTTCAGATAGAGCGGGAGGGAGAGAGAGGAAGAGAGAGAGAGAGAAACATCGATGTGAAGGGACACATCGAGTGGCTGCCACCCGCATGACCGACCAGGGCCGGGGACAAACTGCAACCGAGGTACGTGCCCTTAGCGGGAACCGAACCCGGGTCTCTCCGGACCGCAGGCCAACGCTTTAACCGCTGAGCCAAACCGGCCAGGGCGGGAAGAAAATTCTTAATGCCCAAGGGGCAGGTGGCCCTGAGGAACTGTGGGGAGACGCTGGCCCTCTCTCCTTTATTTACTCGCTTTATAAACTCGGGCAAATGATTAACCTTTTGGAGGCTTGGTGTGTTTATATGTAAAATGACACAGTCATTCACCGGGTTGTAAAGTGAGATGATATTTGTGAACCACAAAACTCTACGCGTGAGCTAATGTGTTTTTGACTCCCCAGTGGCACTGGGACTGTCTGCTGGGCTGGAGGGTCACGGTCCCTCTTATGTCCACCTTCTCAGCTTAGTTTTATTGTGGTCCACCCCGATCTCCCATGGGGATTCACGGTAAAGCTAACTCAGAAGATCGGGGGCCTGCGTATCTGTCCCCCGCCCCTCGGGATGGGCATCGCGGTCTTCATCTTTGCTGCCGCCCGCTCGGCTTGGTCCCTGTTCTGGGACCGTGTTTGCTGAGCATGTGACAAGCTTGCTCTGGCTGCAGCACAGCTGCCCTGAAAGTGCCACAGCCGCGGCCACCTGCCCGAAAGCCTGCTTTCCCTCCTGCTTTGTCCCTTCATGTTTTCCAGAGAACTGTTTCTGAAAAGGCCAGACAATATCCGAGAATTTGCTGCAGGTGAGTCAGGCAGTGTCCATTCTGGGTGTTCGATAAGCCACCCCAGGGAGTGTTGCTGTGACTTTAGAGTCAGACCATCCCAGGAGTCTCCCTGCAGAGTCTGGGGTTTGTCTTCACCTGATGTCCCCTAAGGGAGCTTCCTTCAGAAGGCTCTTTTGTCCACTGTCACTTCCTCACAATGAGGACAGGTAAGAAATGAGGCAGAACTTCCTCACGGCGAGGGTTAAGGATTTTGAGATTCCCGAAGCAACACAGTGGCAGCGTCTTCCTTGGGAACCTCAAAGCAGGGTTCCCTGCCCTGGGGCCCATTAGAATCACCCGGGGAGTGTTTACAACACCGAGGCCCAGGCCCACCCCCAGGGGGTCTCTATTTAATTAGTCTGGGGTGGGGCTTGGCCTCCACGGTTTTAAAGGCTCCCCAGGTGACTCTAATGGGCTCCACTGCCCCCAGATGGCTTAAGGTCAATGGTATTTAGAGGGGAGGGGCTGGGCTGGGTGATTTCTTGGGTCCTGTTAGCCCTGGGAGTTGGTTACATCCTCAAACCATTTCTAAGGGAATCTGAAGACAGCTCTGCCGCCACCCCAGATGCCTCTGATTCACATATGCTGTGTGTATAAAAACCCTCTTCTGTCGTCACTGTCGGAGAGCAGGGAGCCCAGCTCCTCTGAGAGGATGTTCTCAGAGAGGGCGTGACATCAGAGCAGCAGTTGGCAAGCTGAGTGGAGACAAGAATAATACTTGGCATTTACTTGGGCCCCAAGATGGGCCGAGAGCAGAAAGCCAGAGGCTCCCTCAGCCCTCCTGATGGCTCCCTGTGCGTCACAGGCCGAGGACGGGCAGGGTGGGGGCACGGGAGCCAGCCTGTGGGAATGCTGGTGCTGGCAGGCTCCGAAATGCCGGGGATGTGGGGGGCCACGGGGGTGGGCAGGCAGGGATCACAGCGATTGCTGTGACATCTCATATTACGTTGTGATGCGGGACCACCCGTAACAGTCCTGCTAAGACTGAGCCATCTTAACTTTTTAACAGTACACTGTCTCCCCCTCAGTCTTTGTCCCTTGGGTTTCGATAATTTCTTCTTTTTGATTCTTATCCTAGACTATTTCACAGATCCAAGACTTCCCAACAAGATTCACATGCAGCTAATTAAGGAGAAGAAAGCAGCTTAATTAGAAGAATCATGATGCTCAGCTGTTGAGAGAGCCCAGAAAGAATCCAGCCTGGGGGTGGGTGTTAACCTCACTGGCACAGGCTCCTTCACTCTTGTGAAAATAAGCACTGGCTTCTGGGCCCAGAGTGTGAAAGAAAGCAAACAGAGGAGCTGAAAGACAAGTTTCATGCACGTGTTTCGTTTTCCTGACACTATTTTGGGGACCAGGGGCTGTGAAGAGAGGGCCCAAGGTTTGTCTAGCATGTCCATGGCAGAAAGAGACATTTGTCTTCTCACTCTGGTGAAATGGATGAAGAAAATGAAGTGGGAATAGTTAGGGGTAGAGAGAGTGCCAGGGAAATTGGGGTGGGGCCTGCTTGTATGAAGACAGCTCTCAGACTGCAAAGTTCCAGAGACTCCTTTCCTCCCGTCCTTGGTGTGGGGGCAGAGGCCTCTGGGAAAGGTGGGGCACTTTCCTCGTTGCATTTGGATTGGGCGCTCTTCTGCTCCCCTTCCCTTCCAGCCAGGCTCGGCCAGCAGGGCCATCACGCATTGTACAGGCAGGATGACTTCTGAGATGGTTTTGAAGGTTGGGATTTTTTTTTTTTTGTGAGGTGGAAAAAAGCCACACTCCTGATTTAGCAGAACCATTTCTGTTTTGCAGGGCATCTGGAAATGAGAGAGTCCTGTTGTCATCCGTGTGGGTTTCCAAGCTGCCTTGGGCTCTGTCTGCTTTGCAAAGGCTTTTAAAGATACTCATTAAAAACAGACCTTCCTGCTCTCTCTGCTTTATTTCACTCAGGAGGAGGAAGACATCCTTCGTGGGGGGCTCTGCCCCTGCTTTGACCTGGTAGGCAGCCCATGGGCTCTCAGTCAGGTCAGCTGGCTGTTTCCGTAATGTGTACTCCCCACCCTCCAGGCCACCCGCTCCCAGAGCCAAGACCGGATGAGGGAACGGGGTGGGGACCCCGGGGACCGCAGCTGGCCCTGGTGGTACCGAAACAGTCCACCCTTCAGCAGTGGCTTTTGTTGTTTTCTTTATCTTACTTCCTGGGTTACTGTTCAGTGTATAGGTGATTAACTTTTATTTCCATGGAAACAATAAGAGGAATTGGGTTGGAAGAACAGCAAGGGAGGATGAAATTAGACGTAGAAAACCCATTCAGGGTCAATGAACACTGAAGTGTGAGCCTAACAGTTGATTCAGAGAGGTGATGCACCTTGTTCTTGAGGATTTTTATTTATTTACTTATTTATTTTTTATTATAATATAGTCACCTTTATTATAATTCATAAATACATTATAAATAGACCTTTAATAAAGACATTTAGGTTCTCATGGGCTTCTGCTTTCTATTTATTCAGCTAAGCAGTTAGAAAACAAACTTTGAGGATGAAAAAGGTCAAGTATCATTTTATTTTCCATTTTTTTTGGCCACACATGTTCTGAAAAGTTCTCTGGGCCTTCTAGGTCCAGGGACCATACTGTTTCAATAGACCTGCCCATGCCCAGTGTCGTCTGTATTCCTTATAGATTTCAGTGGGCTACCTGACCAATAGAACATTCTGTTAGTTTACCAGTTAATACAGATCTGGGACTATAATTGAGAATTTGCATTCTGTCCTGTTCCTCTTTTTACTCCAAAGGGCTGTCACTATCTTCCAAAAATAGTTATCATCACTTGACCAACTCTCCCTGTCAAATGGAGGACCCAAAAAGCATTGTCAACTGCCAAAAAAGTGAGGTGGCTCCTCTTCCCCCAAATCAAGTTATTTGGAATCTTGACTGAAGGCAAACACCATGAACGCAAAGCAAAGATCTTCCCTCAAAAGCTTTTTGAGGATTTTTGGAAATAAGACATCCATCCATATAGTTTCCAGCTAAGAGGTAGGAGAATTGACCAGTTGGCCTTAGGAAGTCCTTCCCAGGCTGGAAGGCATGGCTGTTGCCTGTTTATGTCTTGCCTGGCCTCCACCACCCACTGGCTCCACTGCATGAAGGACCTGTCACCTGTGTGTCACTTGTCAACATCACCATGGCAACAGAAGCACAGCCCAAAGCAGAGGCTGTATTTCCCTTGTCTCTGCCTGTCTTGTTCTCAGCTGCAGTAGTAGAAAGGGCAACAAAATAGGGCATTTAGATAACTATTAAAAACTACGGAATAGGAACCTGAGACATTATTTTAAGAGCTTTCAGAATCATACATCAGTGGCTACGGCTCTGCTTAGAAAACCCTAACGAAGTTTTCAGCAAAAACACATCCGCTGAGGGCCTCTGATGTGAAGTATTATATTAGACGCTCTTGGAACCTTTCTTGGGAGAAGCAACCTGCAGCCATGTGGGGAGAGAGCAAAGTGTTCTTCAAGACGCTTGAGTGCATGATTTATCACTGTGAGAGTACAATGGCTCGTGCTGGGGCGGGCAGGGTTCCTGGTAGGCATGAGAAATGCACTTCTTTTAAAATATACTTCAAAGCCTTGCATTTAACACATGGTCACGATGTATCTGCTTTGTGTGAGATAGTGTGCTAGGTCCCAGGGTAAGGCAGTAAGAGCCAGGCAGTGGTTCATGGTCTGGGAGATGAGCCGCTTTTCTCCCTAAACCTTAAGTGTCTAAATATCTCCCCTGTTTGACTGAAAGCTCCATCAGGGCAGGGACCAAATGTAAAAATGGAATCTGTGCACGATTAAATCCCTGACTCCTAGCACAGGGTCTGGAACGTAGCAAGTACTCAGCATATGCAGAGAGAACGAATGCTTGTGTGATTGAATGAGCACTCACACTGTATTGGTTGCTGTGAAGACAATTAAATATCTGTGATGGAAGTAATTACATAATCCAGGAAAAGGTAGAAGAAAGAACACCTGCCTGCAGGAGTAAGGGAAGGTTCACGGAAAGGGCATGTGCTGGGTAAGAAAGGGCTTGCCAGGCAGGTGCGGGCAGAGGCCGGGGCAGGCAGGTGCCACAGGTGCTTCCCTTCTGCCGAGCAGGGTGGCGGTGGCAGGCTCTGCTTGTCCCCTGCTCATCCTCACTACCCCTTTCTTCCTTGCTGAAGGAACACCAGCTTGGTTGAGGTCAGCAGTGGGCTCGACCCCAAGTGGTGGGCTGTGTTTATCTAAGCCAACCACAGCAACCGCGTCCCCGACTTCCCAGTCTCCCTTGCGGCCAGGGGCAGCCGTGTGACCAGGAGCTAGCTACTGGTAAGTGTGCTGGGGCTTCTAGGAAAGCTTTTGCTTTCAGAACAAAAATCCAGGAGGTGGTTGTCACAGGCGTAGCTGGTGTAGCCCTCCCTTTCTTCCCCTTTCTCCCTGATTTGAACCTGAATGTGATGTCGAGCTGAGCAGCCATCTTAAGGCCATGAAACAAGCAGGCGGGTAAGAGCCAGTCCTCTGAGGTGGCAGAGAGGAAAGGTCAGTGGACCTGAGGCCCTGCAGCATCTTTGAGCACCCGAACAGCCCAGAAATCACCTGCCTTCAGACTTCTTAGCACGTGAGGAACATTTGTTTTGAAACCAGACCAGAGTTGAAATCCGGACACACCACTCAGTCGATGTGTGGTCAGGCCTAGCCGGTTCCCTAGCATTGCGTTTCTCATCCGTAAACTTAGATGTGTAAATACACACCTCTCGGGGCTGCTGGATTGAGGATGAAGAGTGGATAGTGCCTGGCACGTGGGAGATGTTCACAGGGGTGTGTGTCAATGGAGGTGTGTAAAATGCACGGGTGGGAGTAGTGGGAGACGAACAGGTGGGGACGAATCACGAAGGGCACGGTGTGTTAGGCAGAGGAGGTCGTTTTCTCGTGTAGGCAATGGAGAGCCAGCAGAAGATTTTGAGGCAAGAGGAGATGAAGAAGAGATCTGTGTTTAGAAAGTGTCATCCTATGAAACAAAGGCAGACAATCTCCATATCCAAGTCGCCGTTGTCTCTCACTCGCATCACCTCCCTCAAGTCTGAGCCGTCTCTTTGCTGACTCCCGTGTCTACTAGGTGAGATGAGAATGTATTTAGTTTCAAGTAATAGAAACGCAATTTATGGTGTCTTTTACAAATAGGAGCTATTTCTCTCGCCTAATGAGAAGCCTGGCAGTAAGCGAGATTCACAGGTTTAATGATGTTGCCAGGTACCCCAACCAGGCTTCCATCTTTCACTGCCGCGCTAGCCTGTGACCTCACAGTTCGGAGAGGGCCCCCGCCCCCCAGGGGCCACTTCTGTACTCCAAGCGAGGAGAAGGAAGGACAGCCACACCAGCTGAGTCTGTCCCTTTTTTTAAAAATTATTTTTTCTTTATTGATTTTAGGAAGGGAGAGGGAGAGAGAAACATTGATGCGAGAGAACATCGATTGGCCGCCTCCTGCCTCCTGCATGCCCCCCACTGGGGATCAGGTCCACAACCTGGGCATGTGTCCTGACCAGGAATCAAACTGGTGACCTCTTGGCGCATGGGTCGATGCTCAACCACTGAGTCACACTGGCTGGGCAAGTCTGTCCCTTTTGATCAGGCAAGAAAAGTTTTCTGAAAGTCCTCCCCACTATGTCTCACAGGGTCCTGTGGTTCACCCCAAGTGCCACAGGGACCAGCAAGGGGAACTTGTAACTCCTCCAGCTTCTAGAGCAAAAGGTGGCAAAAGAAGAGTGGGAGCAGCTAAGTCAGCCCCAAAGCAGTGTCTGCTCTCCTGCCTCCCTGACTCATTCTCCATGTTAGAGCTAGAACGATCTTTTAAGAAACCTACATCAGAGTGTGTCATTCTTCCGCCTGAAACCCTCAGCAGTCTTCCATGCGCTTGGGATAACTCCCAGGGGCTGCAAGGCTTGGTAAGACCTGCTGCACCTCTCTGACTTGATCCCTCCTGCCATGCTCCAGCCACACCGATCTTTTCTCTCTGCCTCAAAGCATGCTAAGGTTCACCCTGGCCGGTCTGGCTCAGCGATTGGAGCGTCGGCCTGCGGACCAAAGAGTTGCAGGTTCGATTCTAGTCAAGGGCATGTACCTCAGTTGTGGTTCAGTCCCTGGCCCTGGTTGGGGTCGTGCTTTACCAGTTGATGTGTCTCTCTCACATCGATGTTTCTCTCTCTCTCCCTCCCACTCTTTCACTCTATCTAAAAATCAATGAAAAGATATCCTTGGGTGAGGATTAACAACAACAACAAAATATATATATATATATTTATTTATTTATTAACCCCTCCCCCCATTCTCTATCATATCACTGTTTTGCCTTATACAACACTTATCACTGTCTGATATTGTCTTGTTTGCTTATTTTCTCGTTATTGTCTGTGGCTCCGAGAACGTGAGCTCCAGCGAGAGCAGGCCTTGTCAGTCTTGTTCATCACTCCAAGAACAGCATGCAGTAAGGATCGCCTCCGTCTGGCCCTGGGTGGGAAGGAGGGCAGCAAGTGGAAAGCAAGGCCCCCTCCTAGCTGGGCGGGCCTCTACTGCCCTCTTCTGGGTATGGCCGTAGAACTTGGTGCACCACTCAGAGAATGCCTGTTCCAGGCCTGTGTGGAGTCCACAAACAGGCTAGGAGTGGGGCAATACTCACAAATTTACAGATTTCTGTAAGAACAAGTTTCTTCACAAGTTACCAAATCCAGGGCCTTATCTTTGGCAGTGCTGCTTCACGAGCTCTTAAGACGTATCCTTCTTAAAAGTGTTGAAAGAAAAGAAACCTTGCCAGGTTGACTATTCATTCGTTTATTCATTCACTTATTCACTCATTTATTCAACAAATATTAATATTAATATTCAACAAATATTAGGGCATATTATGATGCACAGTTTTGGGAATAAAAAACACTCCTCAAGGAGTGAAGGCAAATACATAGATAATTATAATACAGTTTCAAAAGTAAAATGATAAAAGAAACATCTAAGCCACCCCGAGGAGGGGCATGTGACTGGCACTGTGGGGGCAGGGGGGCAGGGCACGACAAGGAGGTGGCTATAAAATGTGTCCCCACAGGGGAACTGAAAGGTAACAGCTGAATTGGAATCGAAGGCACCGAGTTACTGCCTAATCCCGTAGCTTCCCATTATTAAATCTGAAGGGCATTGTTTCCTGCAAGGAAATTCTGCCTGCAGCCAGCCCTCACTTTGACCTCTGTATTTAAGTCTCTTAGCGCCTTGGCTTTCCTATCTGTAAGAAGAGGGGGTGCGTTACCTTTACACATCCTCGACCCGACTGAACTCTAAGAATGCTAACATTTGATTTGTAAGGCATCTCCCTGGGAGCAGGTTGGCACGTGTGTATGGATGTAAAAACCCCGATGCTTTTCAGTATCCAAAGGAAAATTCAGCTCGAATCCAAAAGTGCTTTGCATACATTAGCCTCTCACTGAATGCTTGTGGAAAAGAATAAACTCTCAGCATTCTTAAACCGCTCCTGTTGTTCCCTTGGGTTGCTGAGTTTATCTATCTGTAGGGCAACAGCACGTCCCTTGTGGAGTTGTTGAGAGTTGTATTACACGCCTAGGCTCCACAGCCCAGTCTACTGTGGTAGGCCTCCACAGACAGCAGCTACTATTTCAGTGAAGTAGCAGGATCAATTCGACCTGGCACAGCAACGGTCACTGAGGAGAGTCACAGTGTGAACATGCTGGTAAGAAAAGGTATAAACCAAAAGTTCTCACGTTGGAGGTTAGGACTAGTTAGTGTGAGACTGAAGACTTAATGCTTTCTCAACACAATGTACAGACTTCTGACCCTGTCTCAGTCCCAGGGGAAGCAGGTCCTTCATTTCTCTGATGGCTAATTATGTTGAACATCTTTTCATGTGCTTATTTTCCCTCTCTACATCCTTTTGGGTGAAATTTATGCCCAGGTGGTTTGTCCATTTTTGGATTGAATTGTTTATAATTTTTAACTTTTAGTTTGAGAATTCTATTTTTTTTATTCCTCACTGGAGGATATTTTTCTATTTTATCATCAGAGTGGAGGAAGAGAGAGAGTGAGGGAGATAGAGAGAAACATCAACTTGAGAGAGACACATCGACTGGTTGCCTCCTGCATGACCCCAACAAGAGCAGGGACAAAGTGCAACCAAGGTACATGTCCTTGACCAGAACTGAACCCACGACTCTTCAGTCCAGGGGACGATGCTCTAACCGCTGAGCCAAACCAGCCAGGGCAGTTTTCGAGTTCCTTTTACACTGAAGATACTGGTCCTTTGTTAGGTATATGGCTTGCAAATACTGATTCCCAGTAGCTTGTCTTTTCATTCTCTTCACATGGGTTTTCAAAGAACAAAAGTTTTAAATTTTGATCAGGTCCAGATTCTTGACTATTCCTTTTATGGATCATGCTTTTGGTGTCAAATTTAACTCTTACTCTATCATAGATCTTGAAGATTTTCCCCTATTAAATTTTTTTTTTTTTAGTTTTACAGTTTACATTTAATTCTGTGGCCATTTTGGGTTTCTTTTTGTATACAGTGTTAGACTTCGGTTGAGTTTCATGTTTTTTTACCTATGGCTGTCCAGTTGCTCCAGTATCATTTGTTGAAAAGGGTATATTTCCTCCCCAAAAGCACTTATTTGAATTGCTTTTGTGCCTTTGTCAAAAAAAGAGCTGGGCATATTTGTGTGGGTCTGTTTCTGAAATCTTAATTCTGTTGCACTGACCTATGTGTCTATCCCCCCATCTGTATACATAGCATTGATTATTGTAGCTATATAAGTCTTAAAATCAGGTAGACTGATTCCTCACACTCTGGTCTTCTTTTTCAAGATTACTTTAGCTGGTCTAGTTCTTTTGCCTCCCACATAAATTTTAGGACAATTTTGTATATGTCTACCAAAAAATTCTGGAATTTTGATAGTAATTACATTTGCCTGCACATCAATTTGGTGAAGAAGCAAAATCTTTACTGTGTTTAATCTTTTGATGCATAAACAGGGTATGTCTCTCCATATATTTAGATCTTTGATTTCTTTCACCACACTGCAATTCTCAGCATATAAATCCTGTATTTGTTTTGTTAGATTTATACCTAAGCACTTTTTATTTTTTTATCCTCACCCGAGGACATTTTTCTATTTTTTGTTCAGATAGAGTGGGAGGGAGAGAGAAACATCGACGTGAAAGGGACACATCAAGTGGTTGCCACCCGCATGACCTAACCATGGCCGGAAACAAATTGCAACCAAGGTACGTGCCCTTAGCGGGAACCGAATCTGGGTCTCTCTGGACCACACGCCGATGCTCTAACCGCTGAGCCAAACCCGCCAAGGCTACCCAAGCACTTTTAAAAGAAATTGTAAACACTACTGTCTTTTTAATTTTGGCATTCACATGGTGTGTGTGTATGTGTGTGTGTGTGATTTATTCTTAGGAGTTTCTTTTTGTAAATTTCTTGAGATTTTCTAAATAGACAATGTCATCTCCAAATGGGAGAAATTTTATTTTTTCTTTTCTGATCTGTATGTCTTTTACTTCCCTCTCTTGCTTTATTGTACTGTCTAGAACTGCTAGCATTATGCTGAATAAGAGGTAAGAGAGCACATATACTTGCCTTGTTCTTGATCTTAGAAAACCACTCAGAATTTCATCATTAAGTATAACCATAGGCTTTTAAGAAGTTTTCCTGTATTTATTTCTATTTTTTGAAATTAAAAAAAAATCATGAATGGGTGTTGAGTTTTGTCAAATGAGGCCTAGGTCCCTAGGAGAAAGGACCCTGAAATACCATGACAAGTAGATAGATAATAATTCCCCTGGTAATAGCCCTTAGGGACTTATGATCATTTATTTGCATAATACACATTGCAGAGTAATATTCATTTTGAGAACTGTTAGATACAGGGTCCTATTTGACACTGATACTCAATAATCTGACGCATCATCATGGCCCCATTAGAAGTGGTAGTGTTTGGGGGCTAGGTAACAAATATATTCCAGGCCCAGATGTAGCTCTCAGTGGGTCTACTGGGTTCACAGATCCACCTAGTGGTAATTTCACTGGGTCCTTAATGGAGAGCTGAGATGCACATATTTGATAGCTGGAAGAACTATATTACCCATGATAGGTTAAGAGCTATCATACTACATTAACCATGATAGATAAGAGGTATTGTACCGAGGAAGGTTAACAGGAAGCTCCTGAGACTGCCTCTACCATCTCATCCCAAGATAATATATAACAACTATCAAATTAGTGGCCCTCTTAAGACCTGAAAGATGCGGGGATAGTGTCCTCATCATAGTACCAATTAATTCACCAGTCTGGCCCTTGCTAAAATCAGAACGTTCCTGAAAAATAACAGTGGATCATGGCAATCTCAACCAACCAATAGTTTCAACTGTATCTGCTGTGCCAAATGTGCTGTCTTTGCTAGAGCAGATTAACAAAGCCTCAGGTACATAGTTGGCCATCAATCTGAGCAATATATCCCTTTCCATTGCTGTAAGAAAGGATCATTAGGCAACCCACTTGGGTCCCCTTCCCGCTGTGGGGAGTCTATTTTTCAAATGAAGTATCTTTTGCTTAAAAAAACAAAAAAAGATAATAGTTTGTTTACACTACTGAGATAAACAATAACATACTTAAAAAAAAATTTTTTTTCTTTATTGATTTAGAGAGGAAGGGAGAGGGAGAGATAGAAACATCGATGAGAGAGAACATCAATTGGCCACCTCCTGCACGCCCCCCACTGGAGGTTGGGCCTACAACCTGGGCATGTGCCCTCACCAGGAATCGAACTGGTGACCTCTTGGTGCATGGGTCACTGTTCAACCACTGAGCCACACCAGCCGGGCAACTTTAAAGTCTTGTGCCTGGACCATGTAAACTCTCCCCCCACTGTCAAATATAATATGAAGAGACCTGGACTTTCCATAAAATATTACATTACTGCCCTGGCCAGTTTGGCTCAGCGGTAGAGCGTCAGCCCGCAGACCAATGAGTCCCGGGTTCAATTCCAGCCAAAGGCACGTACCTTGGTTGTGGTTTGTCCCTGGCCCTGGTCAGGTTGTGTGTGAGGCAACCAGTCGATGTGTCCCTCTCACATCGATGTTTCTCTCTCTCTCCCTTTCACTCTACCTGATAGAAAAATATCCTCAGGTGAGGATAAAAAAACATATATATATATATATATATATATGTATATGTATATCACATTACTCTATTGATGACAGCATGCTAGTTGCGCAGGTTGAGCAAGAAATGGCAAGTACCCTGGAGGCCTTGGTAGGATTAACGTTCTTCAAATGGTGGTACATAAACCCCACAAATATTCAGTGAAATTTTTAGGGGTCCAGTGGTCTGGACCACGCCACAATGTTCCCTCCAAAGTTAAGGAGAAATTTCATGTCTCTATTAATGGAACACAATGCCTGCTAAACCTCTTTGGGGTCTACATGATCACTTTATGTTCCCTTAGTAGCAACATATGAAACTTCTCCTTTACTTGTGTCCATACTTGGGAATATGGCACTGACACATATATTAGAGGACACACAAGACTGCCAACTTTGCGTGGGACCCAGAGCAAGAAAAGGCTCTGCAGCAGGTCTAGGTTGGTACAAATGGTATACCTATTGTATTAAAGGTGTCAGTGATGGGGGAAATGCCACATGCTGTTTATGGCAAGCCTCAATAGGAAGTCACACATAGACCCCCAATGGTTCTAGAACAAGAACATGCCAGTTGCAAGAGTATTTATTATACACCCTTCAAAAGATTGCTGCTATCATGCTACTGAGTCCTAGTTAAGACAAAGTGCTTGCCCATGGGACATAAAGTGATCATGTGCCCAGAAATGCCTATTAAAACCTGAGTTCTGAGAGACCCACAAGTCATCAAGTTGGATGGGTCCCCCAGCAGTCTTTCATAAGGTGAAAGTGGTATGTATAGAACTGGGCACAAGCAGGGCTGGAAGACAAAAGCAAGCTACATAAGCAGGTGGTCAAACCCTGTCACCCACCACTGTTGTACTGATGCTTCTTCAGTTCACATCTATCACCACATGGAGCAGAGAAAATCCCTTATGACCAGATGACAAAAGAGGAAAAACGCTGGGCTTAGTTAATGTATGGGTTGTCTTAGAAGGAGGAAGCAAGCTGAAAATAGACTGTGGAGGTACTAGGATCCCACTCAGAAGTGACCTTGAAAGACAGCAGTGAAGGAAAATCTTCCCAATGGGCAGAATTTCAGGCACCTGCCTGAAGAATACAGACTCATGGGCAATGGTGAATGGTTCTGCTGGCTGATCAAGAAAAATAGGAAGGTTGAAGACAAGGAAGTCTGAGGAAAAGACATTTAATTTACCTAAGAATGGGTACAAAGTGTGACGATCTTTATACTGCATGTATGCCTACCAGAGAACATCCACTAAAGAAAAGACACCAAATCACCAAGTAGACTGAATGACTTAGCCAGTTGATATTAGCCAGTCTCTGTCATTGGCACCCCAAGGATGGCAAAATGGGCATATGAATGGTGAAGCCATGGTGGAAGTCATGTATGAGCCCAACATCAAGGACTCACCAAGACTGATCTAGCTGCAGCTGCTGTGAATGTCTAACTGGCCAGCATCAGAGACCAACACTAAGCCCCTAATATATCACTATTTCCTCAAGGAAACCATCCAGCTGGTTCCAAAAAACAAAAAACGTTGTTTCTTTTATCCCATCTTCATTTTCTCCAATAATTACCCTTTGGCCTTAATTCAGATTGCCTTAGAAATGTAGAACCCATTGTGCTTACTCATACTGATGACTTTATCAATATACCTAATGAGAGTTAAGTTTTAAGATCCAAGACAAAACAGGCTGTTGAATAATTTGCCCATAGCAACTGTGGGATGTAGCCTGTAAATGTATTCTTTTCTTCCTTCCTTTTCAGCAGCAAACCCCAGTGGCTCAAGAGGACATCCCATATGGATGTCCTGTCCCCAGTCTACTCAAGCGCGGTAAATATGTAAAAAAAAAACAGCCTCTTTATTTCTTCTTGAGAAATAAATGTTCCGTTTGAATGATGAGAATAAGCCAAGTACTAAAGACAATGGCTAGCTCTTCCATGTGTTCCAATGAACTCCAGTGGAGGAAGAGGAAATAGGATCTAGACTATTTTGGTCTATTAATAATCAGCTTATCAAGTGTACAGCTTGGTACTTCTTGAGCAGGATTGCCGCAGGAAGGCCAGATGTGATTCAGTCGAAGACGGAGATGGCAAATATGGAGAATTCAGCATGTAGGTGCAGTTCAGTCCAATGTCCCCACATGCTCTCTAATACTCCACATCTCGTCAGAGCTGGCTCATCTTTGCTCCACTGTGCCTCAGATTCTGCTTCACCACTTTTGAAGGAGAGTAGGTTTAGGTCATCTGGGAGCTGGTGGGGGCCATTCCCTTGGCAGCTTGCTGGGCTAACCAGTACTTATATCTTTTGGTCTTGGGCCTCTCAAAGTTCACCACAGACATAGGGACTCTGACAGTGTCAAGCCCATTTACCTGTATACAAAACAACAGGAATCCCCAGAGGTCAGCTGGGCAGATAAGAGCTACCACCACCCAACCCCAGCTTTTCACCCTGGTTTTTCACCCAGTCAGAAAAAGGAGACAGTATGTAAAACACTCACCGTCACCTCACACCAGTACTCGCCCCACCGTGTGATGGGCTCTTCTGGTAACTTTAATGCATGTGGGGCTACCACAACACCAAGCTTGAAAAAATAGAAAAAGGAGCTGTTTATGTGTCTGCCACTTTAGGTAGCCTCATAAAGAGGGTTCTAGAATTGCCTGTACAGAGATGAATAATACTGGGAGTTTATCCTGGCCGATCTTACAGGAGGGCACAGATGTCCAAGATCGTGGCAGAGAGACAGTCCTAATTTCTCAGAAATGGAGGTGGATTCACAAAGAAATAGGGCTAGAGACCAAAATTATAAGAACTTCTCCAGTGAGTTACATCTTCTCATGTTTTCCTTAGCTAGAGAGGAAATACATGATACCAGCTTTTCTTATCTGTCTTCAGATTCTGTGTGACCACCCTTAGTCCTTAGCCGTTTCCCTCCCACACCCCTGAAAACCAACCAAGAACACCTGCGCTAACTTCAGCTGGACTCATACCTGTTCCTAACAAAGGGATCAATACTGGGCCTCCTTCCTGGAGGTAGCTTCTACCCTCAGTGGTATACAGTACTGTTTGGGAACACTCACATTTTTGAGAAAATGGCGGGCAACTATTTCAGGGTTTAGCTCCCATTTGACGTTGTTCTTCATTCCCACCTCCAAGTGACAGTTTCTCAGAAATTTCACTGTCTGAAAGGAAATACAAACAGCATACATTAGAGTTGGAATCAAAGGAAATGAAACATGTTAGCAAAAGGCACAAGGTCAGCCCTGGCCAGTTTGGCTCAGCAGTTAGAGCGTCGGCCTGCGGACCGGAGAGTCCCGGGTTCGGTTCCCACTAAGGGCATGTACCTCGGTTGCAATTTGTCCCAGGCCCTGGTTGGGGTCGTATGGGTGGCAACCACTCGGTGTCTCTCTCTCTCATGTCGATGTTTCTCCCCACCGCCCCCACTCTATTCTAAAAAAAAAAGGCACAAGGTCAGAGAGCTCAGCAAAAGGGCATAACTTTTGTCTCATAGCCAAGATAGGTGAGAAGATTGAGAAGATAAATGGAAAAGATAGAGAACACTCTTGTCTCAGGCTGATATTGCAGAAAGATGTTTTTGTGACACTTTGGAGGATAATGTCCCCTATACATGGCTATTCCTAATCAAGGAGAAACAGGCCATGTTTCTTCACCAATCAGGGCCACTGGCCCTGCCTGGGTGGCTCAGATGGTTGGAGCATGTTTCCTACACCAAAAGGTTGTGGGTTCAATTCCCAGTCAGGGCATATACCTAAGTTTCTAGTTGGATCCCTGGTCAGGGCATGTATAGGAGGCAATCGATTGATGTTTCTCTCTCCCTTCCCCTCTCTCTAAAATCAATTAAAAACAAAAGAACATATCCTCAGGTGAGAATTAAAAATAAAAATTGGGGCCAATGGTATCTCAGGATGGAATGACTTTCACGGACTGTTTTAACCCAACACTTCTGGGCCTTCAATACCACCCCTACCCCATTAATGATTCCTCCTTGCTTACAGAATGAAATATAAATTCACTAGCTAAGGATTCAAGATGTTTTCTAAATCCTGCCCTACTCTTTTTCCAGCTGTATGTTTCCTAATATTATACAAGTCTTCTTGCTTTAGCTAGACTAGTCTATCTTCTGTACTAAAGCATGCATTAATTATTGTCTTATACTTTTTCTCCCTGAGGAATACATCCTTCTGGCCTATCCAAATCCTACTAATCCCACAAGGCCTAATTCAATCCCATCTGGGTAAAAGCCCTCTCCAGTCACCCTAATGCATTTTGGTCCATGTCACTCTTATAATTTACTGTCTTAAGTTTATTGATCACTTTTGCACGTGTTTATGTTCTCTCCAACTTGTCTATAAATATCACCGAGGCAGAACCTTCATTTCACACTCTTCCATGGGTCTCCTGGTGCCCAGGTTGGGCTTTACTCAGTAATTTAGGGGACTTCACCCAACAGGTCAGGATTTCCCAGGTCTCAATACCAGCTCCCCTTTTTCCTACTTGTGTCTGCAATCACAAGACTTCAAGGAAATCAAGAAACATCTTAGGAAGAGACTGGTGACTCATGGAGATGACCAATAAATAAAGACTTTCTTTGTTTCTACTCACCGCTTCACCTGCCTTGGTCTGGATCTTTTCTAATTTTCCTTCTTGTCTCAGCTAGGAAAAAAAGTTAAAGATGAAAAAAAAAAGAAGAAAAAAGAAAAGTCAGTCCACAGCAAATAGTAATAAAGTGTTACTATGCTAGGCATAGGCTGGATTTCTGGATTCCTGTTCCAGTCTCTACTTCATTTTCAAATAAAATATAAAAGGGATGGAAGTTGCTGGAGGAAATCTTAAGGTTTTAGTCCTCCCTCTGCCTTTCTTTGAGCTTACCAATTTCTCCTCTTCAAACAACTTCTTGTTTTCAGGGGATGCATACACAGCCAGTCCTTGAGAAAGTAGTTGATTACGGCCCACAGATTTCTTCACTGAAACTAGGTCACCCCGGACTCCAAGCTCTGCCAAAGCGAACAGAGAAACACTGAATCAGAACTAGCTAGGAGTCCCTAAAGAGAAGATGACCAAAGAAAGAACCACCGCTTGTTCTCTCTGTTCTTGATCTTCCTATAAGAAATGTTAATATTCACTAGGAACAACATTTAGAGACTTCAATTAATTTGTTTAGGGTCTGATTTAGAAAGTTAATAGTCTCTATACAAAGGAAAGCATTGGCCCAGCCGGTGTGGCTCAGTGGTTGAGCATCAACGCATGCACCAAGAGGTCACTGGTTCGATTCCTGGTCAGGGCACATGCCCAGGTTATGGGCTAAATCCCCAGTGGGGGCATGAAGGAGGTGGCCAACTGATGTTCTCCATGTTTCTATCTCTCTCTCCCTTCCTTTCTAAAATCAATAAAGAATAAAAATTTTTTTAAAAAAAGGTCAAAGTGATTGTCCAATCACATGATTTCAGTATCTGTGGCACATAGGCCTCTTTGCCTCCTGCCCTCTGCCACACACACTTAATGGTTTCTGCATCCCTGTTCTACTTTTCCACGCAGGAAACCAATATCACGATCACAGCACTTTGCATGGCTTTCTCTTCTCAAATAGAGAGCTAAGCTGATGCCAAACAGAACCAGCCTAAAGTAGATGGAAGTACCTCTTGCCCCGGCCTTACCCTCTACCGACTGCGTGAGGATGAGCTCCAGGTTATCTTTGGGCCGGTGTTTCGTGTCCTCCACCAGCTTGTAGACGCGGTGTCGCCGGTGCAGGCGCGGCTTCCGGCCCTCCCCGGCCAGCGGCACCTTCCACCAGCGCTCCACGATGACCGTGCCCTGGCGGCCCGAGAGCAAGGATGAGCGGTCTCCACGGAAAGGCCCCTTCGTCCCCCGGCCGTCCGCCCCTCCAGGGGAGCCCGCCACTCCCAGGCTGGGGCCCCACTACGTCTCAACGCACCCCCAGAAACGGCGTAAAGGCTCCACCACTCGAGGGTCCCGTAACCCAGACCCAACCCTTACCCGACTGTGAGAGAGGCTGAAGTCGCGCTCCGGGCCCGGGGCGACCCCTTCGAGCTGCGGCCGGAGCAGGGTCCGAACTCGTCCTCGCAGCAGCCGCTCGGCGGCCGCGCGCAGCAGAGCCCGGCCCGAGGCCGCGATGGGGGCCGCCATGTTCCCGGGCGCGGAGGGACCTGACGGAGGCCCGGCGCAGGCGCAGGCAAGGCCCCTGCCGGCTGTCCGCGGCGCGCCTGAGGCGGCGCGGCCCGGTCCCGGCTGAGTGAGGGGCAGGCGCAGCACGGCGTGGGTGGGGCTTCGCTGCTGTGCCGCAGCCGGGAGACCGGAGACCGGAGTGCATGGTCCACAACTCAGCGTCTTCCTCGCTCCCTTCTCCCTGTTTTCCTTTTCGGGAGGGACGCCCATTGTACTAGCGCACAGTGGAGTGATTGCTAGGTGGACGGACACGGAAACGACACTGTCTCCCTCTTGTTTGGGTGTTGCTCTCCGAAGTCACTTCCAATTCTGACTCTACAATGGGATAGGGAGGGTTGCCGCTCTCACTTTTCCTTATTTAAAATCTACTTAAAGGTGGTGAAAGGATGGATTCTATGCCAAGACAGTTGTTGTTCTTAATCTTTACAACTGCAGTATTTAGGCTAATATGTAAAGAATTCTAAATCATAAGGGTGAGAGCTATAGAGAAAGTAAACTATGAGAAGGCCCAGACGGTTCTATGGAGACCAAATGGAATGAATGGGGTCTACTGGCAGAGGAGATTATGGAAAGATGGCTCTACGCATCTTATTTTTGACCCATGAACAGCCTGTGACTAGCAGTCCCTCCTAATTATGCCTTCTTAGCTTCCAGAACACCAGTTTTTTATTTTCTTCCTACTTCAGTTTGCGTCAGTCTCCTTCGCTAATTTCTCCTTTTCTCCCTTCTTAGAGTGCCCCCAGTATTGTCTTTGGATCTTGACTCTTCTCAATATACTCCTGACGATCTCATTCGGTCTCATGGCTTAAAGTACTATTGATAGCCCAGTGGCTTCCAAATTTCTATCTCCATCCTAGACTTCTAAAGGCCAGACTTGAAAATCCAGTTGTCATCTTCCCCTTGTATGTCTAATGGGCTATTCAAAGTTAACATGCTCCAAACTAAACCAATATCTAGTCCCGTGCCCCACATGCCTCACCTGGAGCCTTTCCATCTCAATTGATGGAAACTCCATTCTTTCAGTTCTTGGACCCAACTTCTTTCTCTCATACTCCAAGAAGTCCCGTGGGTTCTACCTTTAAACTATTTACAAAATCTGACCACTTTCCACCACCTCCAATGCTTCACCCTGGAATAAGACACCATTCTTCTGAGTTACTGCATTAGTCTACTGACAAATCTCCCTTTAATGCTCTACAGTTTATTTACATCAGTCATAATTATTTTTTTATTAAAAAATTTTTTTTCATCACCATTTATCCCCTCTATGCCCTCTTCCACCTCCACCCAACACCCTCCTCCCCCATCAGTCATAATTTTTTTTTTTTAAATGTGTACTTTATTTTTTCTTTATTGATTTTAGAAAGAAGGGAGGAGGAGAGATGGACAGAAACATCGATGAGAGAGAACATCGATTGGCTGCCTCCTGCATGGCCTGCACTGGGGATTGGGCCCATAACCTGAGCATTTGCCCTGACCGGGAATCGAACTGGCAATCTCTTGGTGCATGGGTCAACGCTCAACCACTGAGCCAAACCGGCTGGGCAGTCATAATCTTTTTTTAATCCTCACCCAAGGACCTTTTTCCATTTTTGTTCATAGAGTAGGAGGGAGGGAGAGGAAGAGAGAGAGAGAGAAACATTGACGTGAAAGGGATCCATCGAGTGGCTGCCTCCTACACAACCCCAACTGGGGTCGGGGACAAACTGCAACCAAGGTACGTGCCCTTGGCGGGAACCGAACCCAGGGCTCTCTGGACCACAGGCCTACATTCTAACCGCTGAGCCAAACCAGCCAGGGCAGTTATAATCTTTCTAAGAACATAAAAACTCATATCACTCTTCCAGCCAAAACTTTGAAATTACTTCCCCATTTAGTCAAGAGTAATAAAGTCCACATGATGGTCTTTCTACAAGGCCATATATGATCTGGTCTGATAGCTCTCTGATCTCATCTCCCTCTACTCTCCCTACACCAGGCACACTTCTTAGGGTTTTTGTACTGGTTGTTATGTAGGCATGGGATGCTCTTACCCAGATGTTGGCTTGGCTAACTCCCTCACCTCTTCCCCCCCCCCCCCACCTCTTTCAAGTCCTTGATTAAATGTCACCTTTTCAATGAGGCCTACTTGGATCTGCAACTTGTCCCACCCCCTTCACACACTTGATCCTCCTTTTTCCTGCTCTATTTTTCTAAATAGCATGTTATCTTGTAACATACTAAATGATTTTCTTATGCTTATTGTTTAGCTTTGTTCTCTCACTGTTAGAAGATACCTTCCATGGGGCAGGGATCTTTATTTATGTATTCCAGGCACCTATAATGCCTGGCTCAAAGGCCCTCAATAAATATTTGTTGAATAGATGAATGAACATGTAGAGGTCTCAAACTGGTGGCCCCACAACTAAATTTTACTCACAATGTTGCTTTTTAAAAAATCAGTTTTGCCCAGCCAGTGTGGCTCAGTGGTTGAGTGTTGACCCATGCACCAAGAGGTCACTGGTTTGATTCCCAGTCAGGGCACATGCCCAGATTATGGGCCTAGTCCCTAGTGAGGGACATGCAGAAGGTGGCCAATAGATGTTCTCTCTCATCGATGTTTCTACCCCTCTCTCCCTCTCACTTCCTCTCTAAAATCAATAAAGGTAAAAAGTTTTTTTAAAAATTGGAGAAATTTATTACAAAAATCTTTCTAGTTTCTGTTGAAAAATATACAATCTGGTATCACCAAGTCTGCATTTCTGCATGGCAACTGGATGGAGTGATTGTGTTGGCTTCTTTGAGACAGGGTGTGAGCTTTCCATTTTGCTACAGCCCTTCCCAGCAGCTCCACTAATTTCCTTTGGCTGTCCAGAGCCTGGAGACATTTAATTTGCAATTCCTACTCTACAAGGCCATTAGAAAGTTCAAATATGTGCAGCACCCATGGGTTGTTAAAGTTAGGGATGATAATGAAAACACTGAACTGATAGGAACCAGGAACCATCCAATCAGGTCAGACCCTGGATAAAGATCTTGGAAGCCTCTTGGGCTGTCAGACACCAACCCTTTAGTTGCTGACTGTGGAGGAAGTAGTGTCTCTGTATGTGTTGCGGGGGGGCAGGTTCAGCGGTCACAACAAATGCTCAGGCAGGGCTGTTTGCCACTGGTCCAGTTGTGAAGTGCATCCTTGGCTAAAAGGGGAAGGGTGGGGGAAGGGAGCAGCAGAGTCTTGAAGTGACATGAAGGGCTGACTCCTTGTCCATGTCATAGTGCCCACCGGGTCACAATGGTACCAGGTTGCCTACACCTTTGTCAACCATCTCTGAACCTCACTTTGCCACAGGGAGGCACTGAACTGAGAAACTGCTTTGTAACAGGTCACGCCCCTCTCTCTACTCCCTTTCTTATATCAAGAGGGGAAAAACACGGAACTACCGCTACCCAATCTGGTCACCATTCGCCTATTACTTCTACTGTTACAAATACCGGATCACCCTCCGGGAGAAGATGCTGCCTTGTTATAAAAGGTACTTGTTTTCATCCCTACTTGTAATTGTTCATATAAACTGTAAGGAAAAAGAAAATAACTTGAAAAAACGCCTCAAGTGGCAAGAGATGATAATAGCAAAATAGGGTGGAAGGCTGGAATGTAACTTCATGATGTTTCCACTGGCTGGCCTGGGAAAATGGAAACAGGCTGATCTGGGGAAGATACAGAAGACAGGGCCAGAGTCTGGTCCTATATTCCTGGAAGTTATGACCCTCTCCCCATCGCAGACTTATAAACTAATTTGGGCCTCTTTTTCCCAACCAGCATCATTTATAAGGAACAGGAGGACTTGACACTCCGGCCCCGTTCCTGCCTTCAGTGCTCCTGAGTCCCTGGTAGGCCTCCAGATGGGCAGAAGCACCAAGCAGGGTGACCATGACCAGCTTAAAGAACTGTACTCGGTAAGTGGGCTGTGAGCTGGTGCTGTGCGTTGGTACCAGGTAGCCCATGCCTGCTGTAATACCTTGCAGAGAAGGAACATTAGCTAGTTGAGATCTCAAAGCTCATGTGTGAAAGCTTCTTGTTTTAATGACAAAGATTCTGGCCCAGAGATCTTAAGGTGGTGGTGAAAAGCAGGATGGCAAAAGAGAAAGTGGAACAAAGAATGAATTGTATTAAGACTTGTGGGACATAAGGCTGTTCAGATGTTGACTTGGACTAGAACCCAGAACTCCGGCATGTGCCCTTGTATCACTTTGCAATGACATGCTTGCATTTTAGAGAAGTGGGAGAATTGAGAGAAAACCCGTATGATGGAAAAAAGTGGAAGAGTATTATCAGTGACACAGTAAACAGATGGCATAGCTTTGTTTAAACTTGCAGGAGTGGGGAACCTTTTTTCTGCCAGGGGCCATTTGGATATTTATAACAGCATTCATGGGCCATACAAAATTATCAGCTTAAAAATTAGCCTGCTATATTTGGTCAGGCGTGTGATGTTAGCTGCTATTGATTTCACAGGCCTTATACAGCCCTTGGGCCAGATGTTCCCCACCCCTGGTTTAAAGAATAAACTCTCTGATGCAAATATCAGTTTCTAAAGGGATAGTGCACCCCGAGGTGAGGTTAGTAGGCAGTAATCTTGCATTGACTCCGGATTTCAGATGTTTGCTATGAAGGAGAACTCCACGAAAGGGATGGAGTTAAGTCCTAGGGCTAAGGGATATGTATTGTTGAATAAGGCCTTGTCTCCACTTCCCCCAGGCTCTCCATCAGCCCTCTTCTTGCTTCCTCAGCCACCCAAATCGGCCTGAGATCTGATATGTGAAGACAAATGGACACAGAAGCAGGGCACTGTTATTCTCATTTGTATTCCTTTTCCAGGCTGGGAATTTGACGGTGCTGACTCCTGATGCTCTGCTCCACCAGGACCCAGTGCAGTTAGACTTCCATTTCCGCCTCACCCCCCACACCTCTGTCCACTGGCATGGCCTACTCTGTGACCGTCGACTCTTCCTGGATATCCCATATCGGGCCTTGGATCAAGGCAACCAGAAAAGGTAACTGAGCCTGGATGGGAGTGGGAAGGGAAGAGAGTTGGAGTTTCACTCTTTTATCATGTCATCATCAGGTACTGGGTATGCTAGCCAGTGAGGGCTGATTCAGGAGCTGGATACATTCAAACCACTGAACTGGCATGCAGCCTGGATCTGAGGTTCAAGGGTAACAGTCCATGGGAGGTTACTGGATTCAGAGTCAGAAACACAGAAGTGAGAACCCGTAAACAGCTGTCTAGGACATGCTTTCCAGCTGTTGACTTTATAGTGCCTTCTTCCCAGACTTCATCCGTGGCATGGGTTCAGTCATAGCGTGCAATCCCCTTGGCTTCAGAAAAAAGAAACCTATCAAAATTAGTTTAGCAACTTTCATTTCCTGGCTTGGGTTAGCAAACACTGACCAATAAGATTTCTTTTAGATTCTGAGTTTGCTAAACATTTCATTAACCATGATTTTTCTTTCTGGTTCCTAGTCTGACTGCAACACTAGAGTACGTGGAGGAGAAAACCAACGTGGACTCCGTGTTTGTAAACTTCCAAAACGACCGGAATGACAGAGGTGGGGATCTGCTCTATCCTTAGCCCTTGGTGCTGAAACAGCTAACAGTGATTTTTCCTTTTTAGGAGACCCTCTTCCCCAACTATTTAAAAAGGGCATGCTCAAGCATTTCAGGGCCTCTCCCCCAAACTCCCACCAAGGAAATTAAGGTATCTAGCATTCTGTTCAAGTTACAACTAGTCTATTAGGAAGTCCCTGCAGATAGATTTCAGGAACCAGACTAAAGGACCACTGGTGAAATTAGAATCCATTCGAGGGATGTGGCTGGTAGGACAGAAAGGGTATCAAAATGTTTTAAGCACCAACAGTGTGAAAGGCCAGGATAGGAATGTATTTAACCAGATGCTTGGAGCACATGTTACAGGAACTACAACCTCTTCCCTCAAGGACTTTATACTCTTGGATTTAAGACAAAGGATAGTTAAGAGTTTACAACACCATCATTGTGTTAGGCACTTCATAAACATCTTGTTTAATCTTTTTTTCCCCTGTAGGAATTTACTGTTTATTTTATTTTATTTTATTTTATTTTATTTTATTTTATTGAGTTTAGAGAGGAAGGGAGAGGGGGAGAGAGAGAGAGAGAAACATCGACTGGTTGCCCCTGCAAGCACCCCGACTGGGGCTGGGGATTGAGCCCACAGCCTGGGGATGTGCCCTGACTGGAAACTGAACCCACTACCTTTCCATGCACAGGACGATGCTCCAACCAAATGAACCACCTGGCCAGGGCCATCTTATTTAATCTTAAATTCTGTGAAGAAGGTTCTATAGTCCCCATTTTACAAATGACAAAAAAGTTTAGAAGGATTAATTCATAGAATGTCACAAAACAAAGTAAATGTTATAGCTAGGGTTAGAATTTTGCACTACACACTCCCCCACAGCCGTCCCTGAGTGGAAAAACCAACTCTCTGGGAATAGAGGTACTGGGTTGCAGAGTTTTCTAATTTGTACTCTCCTTTCACAGGTTCCCTGCTGCGGGCCTTCAGCTACATGGGCTTTGAGCTGGTCAGACCAGGTCACCCTGCCCTCCCTCCCTGGGACAATACCATCTTTATGGTGTACCCCCTTGAAAGGGATCTGGGCCACCTGCCCAGAGAGCCTCCCTGAACATGCTTATTCATACCCTGTGAATAAGGGCTGGGGGCCTTGATAATTGGGACCCAGGGACCCAGGATATGATTCTGGGCCCCTTCTATCCTAGGAATAAAAGGTAGCGCAATCAGGTGTTCACTGTTTCTTCGGGGGAAGGTGGAGTTGGCTGGAGTGAGCCATACACCTTACAGAGCTGAATTCACTGTAGGAGAAACATTTAATGACTGAAAAGATCAGAGGGAACTGAACAGAGAGGAAAGGGACCCAAGGATTTTAGGCTTCTCTTGCCTTCCCCTCACCCCATTTATTCTAACCATTTACTGACCACCTACTAGGAGCAAGAAACAAGCCCTACTGGGAGATTTTCATTCAAATGTCTCAGTTCAAATTGGAGACAAGCACGAATTCCTTCTCTTTGGATGTGGAAATCAGAGAAGGCCCATGGGTCCCACGGCTTTGACTCAAGGGGATTTCAAAAGACAAAATAACAATTAGGAAGCATAGAATAGGGCACTCCAGGCAGTAGGAAAAGTACAGAGTTGTGTTGGAAGAATAAGGAACCCTTCAGAATGGGGTGGAAACTGACGACTTAAAGGCCACACTGAAGGAACATACTTCCATACACAGGAGCAAACTGCAGCCAGGAATGAGACACCACTCATTCCACAGCAAGGAGTTGTATGATTTGTCAGGGGTCCTCTATTTTACAGTAAAGACTAAGAGCTGAGGAAACTAGGGACAAAGTGACCTCATAACCTTTGTTGTAGAGTGGCTCCAATTCCAGGGCTGAGCCAAGGTCTAAAGGTCAGTGGTAGCCCTTCATTGAATTTTCCAAAACTACTCATCAGAGCTGCTCCTCCATGGGAGCACCTCTGCTAACTGGTACTCAGATTTTTCTGATAAAATGAATACTGAAAATTGTGGCTATGGGAAAACAGAGTTGCCACGTAGCAAATGGGCAGACCTAGTTCACATTCCTAGATTTAAAAAAAAATCCTGCATAAGGCATCCTTATGTGCTATTTCAAGTTTTCCAGTTTACTTTGCTGATCCTTAAAAAGAAGTCCATTTGCCATTATTCTACCACCCGCATTGTATTGATATTTTCTTCAAGTACCTTCCTTGTTCTCACTGGATCCTCACAATCCTGTCAGAAGTGGAGAGAGGCTGTAGGGAAACAGGCTCCTCAAGCCCCGAGATGTATTCCTAGAACCCAGGTTTCTGGAATTCGAATCCAGGCCTTTTCTTCCAAATACTTTAGGTAGGGGTCTGATTTACACAGTCCAAACCTCAGTTGGTTCTGGTAACTTTAGGGAAAGAATATGATCTATACATGGGAGGAACACTTGTTCATAGATGGGCCCCCTCTATGTGAGGTGTTGGCAATTTTCACCAGATTTAGGTTCAGAAGACACACCCACAGGCCTACTTCCATCTTGTGATTCAACCAGAAGTTAGTTTTAGATAATTTTTTGAGAACTTTATTCAGCAAAGAACCTCCCAAATGCTTTGAACAACTATACATGTTCTTTTCCTCTATGTATGTATGTATATATATATAGGTATGTACACACACACACACACACACACACACATTATAGATGCTATACTAGCAATTTAGAACATTTCCTGAGCTGCCTCTCTCCTTGCTTATATTTTAACCAAAGTGTACAGGAAAATAGCTAGAACACTGTTTTCAAAAAACTGGTCTCCAATAACATCAACAGTTGAGGCTGGAAGCAGCATTCTCTTTCCTACATCCTGAGGCTTTTAAATATAAATATGCTGATTTTTGTCTTTGCTTCCTGACTCAACTGCAGTCTTTGGGTCAGTTCATCATTCAAAAACTTCCCTTAACCAGAGTTGCCTAAGGAGATGAGTCAGAAGTGTGCAGAATCATCACTTCCAATGACCAAACCTTGACTGCTTCCCAGCTTCAAAAAGGACACAACCTAGCAGGAGTGTGCATTCTCATTGGTGAAGGGAACAAGCCAGATGTTGAGCAGCCTGGACATAATGCAACAGTATTCAAACACTGGAAGAGATGGTGGTGGGGAATGGAATAGGAGCATATATTTGTCTCCCTCTACCCCACACTCTTTCTGGTCATCCCATGGAAGGAGAACACACATTTGGTCCATAGCAAGCCAGACTGTGTATGCAATAAAGGGAGGACTGCATAGATCTCTTTATCATAGGCTCCTCTCTCCAGGCACCAAATCCTGCCAAAAACATGAACACAAAGACACAAAAAGCTTAAAAGGGCTCAATCTAAGAGTAGGTTAAGCTACAGGAAAGCAGCTGCAGGGTAGTAGTGCTTAGGCTGTGGGGAAGACAGACTAAAGCAAGGTCCCTGTTGTCACCCTCATTACTCTCCCTTTGCTACAGATAGATGATAGCTCCACTCACAAAGCAAAGCAGATGGCTGAGGCAGCTGAAGCAGACTTCAGATTAAGTAGTCATCTTCAAGGTTATCATCACCAGACATAGAGGCAGCTTCTATTGAGCAGGAGTGAGGAGAAAGTTAGACACTAACCTAGTCTAGCAGACACTGTCACTGAGGCTCAGGAATGCTTGATGACCCCCCTTGGTTAAGTGCCAAGCCTTAACAAGCTCCCTAGTTTGGAGAGATTGACTGAGAAATGGCAACTTCCCAAGATGCTCTAGGGAGGGAATGCTGTTTGTACCTGATAGGCTGAGGCAGGACAGGGTATTTGCTATTTCTCCAGCACTCTTCTTGCTCTCAGTGAGCATGCTGCTGAGAGAGACATCTGTTTCTGTCATCTGAGAGGATGGAAATAAGAAAAAAAAGGAAGAATGGTGGGAAAGGAGTGGACACTCTGTCATTTTGCTCAGAGGATCCTTCTTTGATAACACGGGAAAGCTCTCTACAAAATGCCATGCATGACCAGAAGCCCTAATGACTCTCTAGGCAAGAGATTTGCCCCAAAGAAGCACCCTCAATGACTACTACAGCTCCCTCACTCACCGCGTCGTGCAACACTTCTGGGACAGTTCCGTTTTCTTCCATGTCTTCAGGAAGCTCAATTGCATATCCTTTACGAACTAATTCTAACCCAATATCAAGTTTCTGAGAAGAAAAGTGAAAAGGGAATGATATTCTCTCTGTAAGGAAGGGCATATCTGAAGAAATAGGGCAGAAGAGCTAGGACTGATACTTAAAGGACATTCTTTTGGTGGGGCACAGGACCTTACAAAGAGGAAGTAATATCAGATAGGGTTTCTAGAAAAGAAAAAGTAAACATGGCTATAAATATAGTAAAGAGTCAATGAACAATGAGTGAACCCCAATATTACCTTCCCATTGCTAGTATCATATAAGTAGATCTTGGGCCAAGTTGACATCCCCGACTGGACATAGCTAGAGATCTTGGCCACCAGGGGCTTCCAGTCAGCACAGTGAGTCAGTCGGTCAAACTCATCCAGCGCTTCCTCTTCCCATTGTTCACCTGCCAAAGATTGTAGGGAGAGCCCAAGAAGGGGTCAGTGCTGACATGGGTGGGATGATACCCTGGAGGGAAACTGGAACTATCTCTTTCCACTCTGGAAGGCACTTATGTCTGACTGCCAGGCAAGTTTCTAGCTGTGCTTTCTAGTGCTGGTGAGGAAAAGACACCTGAGCTCCCTGAACTCAAAAAGCCTTGGAATGTGAGAACTCCTGCCATGTGCTGTATCAAAGGTATTGTATTTGGAGGCAAGGTCATAGGTATGACCAATTTACCTGAGGGAGCGATCCGTGCCAGACTACACTCTATTGCTTGAAATGGAAGGCTTAGGAAGTCACTCCTAAAGTGAAAGAAATTAAAATTAGACTCCTAGTGCCAGAAGGGCTTTCTTCTTATATTCCTTGCTCCCAACTAACCCAGCAGGAGAAGATAATCTTGTTCTATGTAAATAGGTTCTCCCAAATCCCCCTGGTGATGAGTGCCAACAGCTACCTCACCACCCTACGGCCAGGGTTGAGTCAATATTTGGCACTCCAGCCTGATTCTACCTTGGCCTCCACACTGACCTGAGTGCCCTGAGGTCCCTCAGTGAGCAATCTCCATTATCTCCAAAATCAACAAAGTAGAGGTCCAGGTTCCCATTCTCCAAGGTGCCAAGGACCCGGGCTCGATACCAGGAACCATTTGTAGATAAAGGTGCTGCTACAATGTCTCCTACATGCACAGTCAAGTCTTCAGGCTATAGAGGAGATAGGAAGTCAGGAGGGGGTAGAGTTAAGAAGAAGTAGGCTTAAAAATAGGTAAACAAGCAATATCAGAAGGAAGAAGAAATGAGTAGTTGCACCACAGGAAAAGGAAGAAAATATACCACAATGAAAAACATATGCTTTTTTTCCATCAAACTGAGCCTGTCCCTATGGCAACTCACCAGACTATTCCCATAGTGCTGGGTCATCTCACTGACAAGCTTATCCAATTGCAGGCTTCGGGAGCCAATGATTTGGATCCAGAAGTGGTTAGGATGTTCAGAAGCAGAGACGTAGACTTCCAGAAACTCATCAGCATGAAAACTGAAGTCAGGACTGGGAACTAAACATAGGGATAAGCAAATTAAGCTGCAGAATCATCCTTCCAATATGGTAACCATATCAGAATCATCTCTGGTTGGAATTAGGAGACTGCACCAGGGGGTACAAATACCAAGTAGTTATAACCATTTTTTTTTTTTTATCCTCACCCGAGGACATTTTTTTTTTTTTTGGCATTTATCTTCAGATAGAGTAGGAGGAAAAGGGGGGGGGGGGGGGGATAGAGGGAGAGAGAAAGAGAGGGAGAGAGGGGGGGGAGAGAGAGAGAGAAACATCGATGTGAAAGAGACACATCAACTAGCTGCCACCCACACAACCCCAACTGGAGCTGGGGAAAAACTGCAACCTAGGTACGTGCCCTTAGCGGGAACCAAATCCGAGTCTCTCTGGACCGCAGGCCAACTCTCTAACCGCTGAGCCAAACTGGCCAGGGTACTATTACCATTTTAAAAGTAGCTGGAGGGACAACTGGATGAATCATACAAGAACACCCTGAAGAAAGGTACTGAGCTATGTTCTGTACCTTTCTATATAATTGAGTAATAAGAGAGTTTACTTCTTAGTCATCAGCTATTTATTCAAATTAGTCACCAATTATAATGACGGTAAACCCTCCATATGCTAGCTGCAGCATGGACCAGTCGAAAGATACATGGACGGATATGGACTTATCCAGCTTCCATTCTTCCACTGACTCACTATGTGACCCTGGACAAATCTGTGAACCTCTCGGGCCCTGGTTTCCCTTGCCTATCCCATACCTATGCATAAAACAGAAAGCGTACAGCCTTTTAATTCTTCTTGAATGGTGATGATTTTTAAAAACAATAAAACAGGCAGAAAAAATTGGGCTATTTTACTTGTTTAATAGTATTTTTGGTGAAGAATATCATGTAAATTCATTATTTGATATATTACAGCCTAGTTTCCTGTGAACTAGCATATTTCTATATTGTTCTCCATCATTAGCTGGTTTATATTCAGAAAAATATTATCTTTAGTATTCCAAGTAAAATATTACCAGGGACATGTATCTGTGATGAAAACTTGTTTTTTTGTTTTGTCTTATCCTCACCCAAGGACATTTTTCCATTTTTGCTCAGAGTAGGAAGGAAAGAGAGGAAGAGAGAGAGAGAGAGAGAGAGAGAGATTGAGATTGAGATTGACATGAAAGGAACACATTGAGTGGCTGCCTCCCGCACAACCCCAACCAGGGCCGGGGCAACCGAGGTACATGCCCTTAGCGGGAACCGAACCCGGAGCTCTCTGGATCGTGGGCCGATGCTTTAACTGCTGAGTCAAACAGGCCAGGGCGTGTGATGAAAACTTGTAAGTGTAGTCAAGAAAATAAGAATTATTTTTTCATTGCCTCCTATTGTGGGTTATCTAAGCCAGTATTTCTATCTTCCATATAGCTATGTGTTCCCTTTGTTACATACTTTCAAACATGGACATCTCTGGACTGGTCTGGGCTCCAGACTTCTGAAAGCTGTCACCATTAGGTTTCTCCCAGGAATCTTCTTCTGGCTCTATAACAGCCACGTCACCAGCTCCTTTGCAGGGAAGGTCTGTCAGCTGTGCAGCCTGCTTCATGCAGGTACCAGTGTTTTTCCATAAAGCTGGCTCTCCCGCTGCACCGGGCTCTGTCACTTCCTCTCTTCTTACACTGATTGGCTGTTTGCGTGGGACTCTGGTTTCTGCAGAATGAGTGATTCTCTTCCGAAGTTCTTCATCTTCTGAAACTTTCTCTAGTATCAAATGCTGTGGAAAATAAGAAAAGGGGTGACAGCTATGTGGCCAGATATTTTGACCCAGGATGGAATAAAGGGTTCTTCTCATTCTGAGATATGATTCAAGTTGATCAGCTACTTGCCTTGGCTGCTGCCACTTCCTTTTGTGTTCCTGAGATTTTTATAAGTCTTGATAGTAGTAATGTCCCCTCTGATTCTTTGTCACAGGTAATTTTGGCTCCGGAGGCCTTACAGATAGAACGAATCGTCTCGCCACCTCTCCCTACATTGAACGACACATAAAATCTCGTCCTTCTGTTTCGGCCAACCTTAACTGCTAGAGAAATCTCTATTTTGTATATACCAGAAGAGAGTCAGTTCCTATTTTCAAACTGAACAGAATGCAAAATATTGAATGGAAAGCAGGGGCTACTGAAATTCCTACTGTAAGAAGGGTATTTCTGGATTATTTGCTCTATCCATTTTATTTAAACTCTAACATTGGCTAGGTTAACAACTTCATGCCATTTCCATTTTCTGGACACTCAGCATACTTTATATCCCCACTTCATTAGAAGAGATCCTACAAGGTGTGAAACACTGAACCAAGGACAGGACATTTCTCTGCCTCTAACAGCGGCACAGCAGTGCTCTAGGGGAAAGCATGACAGGTGCTCTCAAGAGCACTATCTACAGTGATTTGGGGTAACATGAGCATTCTCAATTTCCCTTTAAAAATCGATTATGGTCCAGCAAGTGTGGTTCAGTGGTTAGACTGTCGGCCTGCACACTGAAGGGTTGCAGGTTCAATCCCTGACCCCTGTCAGGGTGCTTGCAGCAGGCACCTAATCAATGTGTCTCTCTCACATTGATGTTTCTCTCTCTCTCTCCCACTCCCTCCCTTCCACTTACTCTAAAAATCAACGGAAAAAATATGGTAGGGTGATGATTAACAACAACAACAAAACTATTATGAGGTATGTACCTTTGCCCGAACCCTTCTGGAACCTATTTGTAAAGTTCGGATCATACAACTTCTTGAGGTAATGGGTTTTGCTTTACCAACGGCTCTGTAAAAAAGTAAGGCTCTCGCTCGGCTGGTGTGGCTCAGTGGTTGAACATCGACCCACACACCAAGAGGTCGCCAGTTTGATTCCCAGTCAGGACACATGGCCAGGTTGTGGGCCCAATCCCCCGTGGGGGGCATGCAGGAGGCGGCCAATCAATGTTCTCTCTCATCGATGTTTCTATCTCTCTTTCTCCTTTCCTCTCTCTCTAAAATCAATAAAGAGGAAAAAAGAGTACAGCTCTGGTCTCAACGTCCCTTTTTATTCCTCAGCAAGGTGAAGGAGAAAGTAGGCCAGGATAAACCCTTGGGCAGATGTGAAACAAAGGCAAAGGTAAAGAAAAAACAAAACAAAACGGAAACAGTAGAGGAAGCTGTCCAGTGGTACCTATGATTCTGCCCACAGATCTCTGGGGAACTGAGAGCTGCTCAGACACTGGGGCAGTCTCTGTCAGGATCTGATGGATTGCTGCTTTGGCCTTGCACACCTGAACAGGAAAACCACTGATAAGCAGCACCCGCTCATCGCCTACATCCTCCGTGTCCACATCAATCCGAGCACCTGTCTGTTTCCGCAGCTGCAGAGAAAAGGATACATAGCAATACGCTCTGGAAGAGCTCCCCTTTAGCTAAGGACACTAAACCTAACCTTGGAGTTAGATGGAGCTGGACACAATTATCAGCAAAATCAGGATGTTATAAACACTCCTCACTTATAGGTACTTATGGAAAAAGATTAGTGACAAAGATAATTTAAAACAGTTTCTCTGCATTTACAGCCCCCTCTTTTCTCCTAATTTTATTTGGATTAGAGAATCAAGTATTTTTGACACAGCACCTGAACAGTGAAAGATGCTAAGAATCAGGCAGGAATTCAATATTTAATGTCAATTAATGAGAATTTGAAAAGTATAAAAGAGCCCTGGCTAGTGTTGCTCAGTGGTTAGAGTGTCGGCCGTTCACCAAAGGGCTGCAGGTTCGAGACCCAGTCAAGGGCATGTACTTGGGTTTGATCCCTGGCCCCAGCTGGGGAATGTGTGAGAAGCAACCAATTGATGTATCTATCTCTTTCTCTCTCCTTTCCCACCCCTCTCTCCCATTCCCTCTAAAAAAATATCCTTGGGTGAGGATTAACCAAAAAAAACAGTTCAAGTTGAGATGCAGCCAATCAAAAATCTCCATATCAAGCTCAGTCATCTATTCTCTAGGAAGCAGAGGTACTCATTTCTAAAACATAGATAGCATATCAGCTAAAAAGTTCCCATTATTTTTTTCTTTTAAAAATATACATAGTGTGGGTGGGTTTTGTGGGATGAGGGCAGAGAGGGGGAAAGTAGAATCATTCTCTGGAAGAGCAGATTGCAGGCTTAACACTTACCTGTTTAATATTGGCTCCTTGCCGGCCAATTATGAACTTCACAGCTTCCTGGGGTACTCGCATCTCTATCTCAATGTCATCCTCCCCAACAAACGTCAGCCGTTCTTCTGCACAGATCATGGCTCATCAGATCAGACTTAGATTATTAACACCCAAAGCTAATACCAGCCCTCCCGCAAATCTAGCTGTCAAAGAGACACTGATCCAAGAGATAAACTGAGAATCTCAACTGCAACAACAAGTAGCAGCATCTGAGGGGGAATTCGATCCCCAAAGACCAGAAGATGAGCATTCTCTCTAGGATATTGTTTCAGATGCTAAAGTAGGAGAAACATTTGGCTCTACAACCAAGACGTTTTGGATTTTAGGCAAACTATTTCTCTTGGAGAAGAATGAAGGCTAGAAGTTGCCTGAGTAGTTCATTAGGCTCAGAACTTCTCTGGTTTGTACATAAATCATCTCTCTAGGTCCTCTTCTCTAGGTCTAGCCTCTAGGAAAAATTGAACCCCACCGTTAGCCTTCTCCTAACAATTAAATAGAAGGAGCATATAAAAAAGATAAGATATGGATATTAAAAAAAGAAAAAGAATCCATTGTAGTGTTGATGTTGCTGAATGGAACAGATCAATAGAATTATAAAATGAATTCTTCATTTCACAGAAATTATAGCTTCATATAAATGATGATAGCTCCACATTAAGACTATAGAAAAGAAGAAACCAAATAGTTTCAGTCAAAGACCCCTCAGAGAAAGCCAGTTACATCCCAATAAATGATCCCCAGTCTGGCAAGGACAGTTTTCATTCCAATTTAACAAGGCTGGAACATGGTCTGAACATTTCCATAATGTACAGCTGTGGGGTTCACATACCTCTGCTTTCCCTATATCTGCGGTATAGGATATAGGCAACCGTTGCACTGGCTGGGATTCCGAGGCCCAGTGCTATTTTCTGAATAGTGGACAAACTTGTCCAAGAAGTCCGTTCAGTGGACATTTTCTGCTGTACTCTGACTTACATCCTGAAATAAGCAAATGAGGGAAAAGAAGGAACTTTCATCCAATACCTTTATGACTGGCAGAGAGACAAGGGAACACAGTATATTATTATTATTATTAAAAAAAATACTACTGTCTACTTTTTCCCATTTTATGAGCTTGAGCAGTCTCAAAATCTGTATCATGTATCAGAGTATTTTTTAAAAGTTACCTAAGGGACACATACACATACAGCTAGAGGCATACTTCATCCCCGCACCCCAAGTAGAACTAACTATACACTGATCACAGTTTTAAAACACAAAGGAACAAAACATTGTTAAATAAATATTTAAAAATATGTATTCAGATTTTTTTATCCTCACCTGAGGATATTTTTCTTTTCTTTTTTTTTTTTTTAATCCTCACCCAAGGATATTTTTCTATTTATCTTCAGACAGAGTGGGAGGGGGAGAAAGGGGGAGAGAGAGAGAAACATCGATGTGAGAGAGACACATCCACTGAATGCTTCCCGCACGACCCTGACCAGGGCCGGGGACAAACTGCAACCGAAGTACCTACCCTTGGTCAGAACTGAACCCGCAACTCATTGGTTCGAGGGCCGACGCTCGAACCACTGAGCCAAACCGGCCAGGGCTGTATTCAGTTTTTTATTTCAAACTATTTAAAATTACACACATAGCCTAGTCGGTGTGACTCAGTTGACTGAGTGTCACCCCATGGACAGAGGTCCCAGTTCAATTCCGGATCAGGGCACATGCCCGGGTTTCAGGCTTGATCCCCAGTAGGGGGCGTGCAGGAGGCAGCCAATCAATGTTTGTCTCATATGGATGTTTCTCTCCTTTCAAAAAATCAATAGAAACATATTTAAAAAAAATTCCGTATGTGCGCCCTTCTATGCTTCCCAGCCTTTCCCGAAGCTGTCGTTGCTGCAAGAATGGCTTTCCAGGCCTATTTTGGGCTTTGCTACTTCTACTTATCTTTCTTGAAAGTAGAGTCTTTATTATTTGTACTCCTGATTTCTATTTATTGCTCAACTAACAGTGAAAGGGGTGGGTGGGAGGGATTCTGCCCTGCTCCACCAAAACTATGAGTTAATTAACCTAGATGGCACGTATAAGCCTTATCTAATCTTACCTCTGTTCCCCCTTTTCTTGGTGTCTCCTGTTTCACTGGAGAGGACTTTTTTGAGTTTTGGGTTTGTCTTTCTGTGGCCTCTTTCAACTGCTATTGTCACTCTGTTCTCTTTGGGTGATTTCACCCACATCTGCAGCCTCAATTATTACCTACATGCTAATGATGTCAAAACACTGCACCTGGACTGATTACAGAAGCTTAACAAATCTCAATTAGACCACTGTAGTGGTCTTCCTACTGGCCTTCTTTTTTATTTATGTATTTATGTATTTATTTTTTATTTTTTCCCTACTGGTCTTCTTACAATGGCCAGCAAGTGACAGAGTGAAATACTCTCTGACTCTTATCTTAATTTTGCTGCCAAGCAAATCTTAACACATCCCTCACTATATTTCCTTAATCCCTATATATTCTCACTTTCCCAGACAATGATTCATACCATCTCTTCTCAGATCTCTAGTACCTCTTTCTCCATCCGCTCTTACTATTTCACTGAGAAAATAGAGCATTCAGAGAAAATAAACTTCCACCACATTTACCCACCTACGTCCATCTGTGCCTAAATATTCTATCTTCTCTTCTGTAGCCCTGGATGAACAACCTCTGCTCCTAGCACTAAAGTATCTCATAAAAGTGTTGCTCCACCAACACTGCTCTCCTTCCTTCTCCTGCATCGTTAATATTTCCCTCTCTCCCGGATCTTTCCATCAGCAGACAAACATGCTATTACATGTTTCTTAAATGAAAACCCTTCCTCAATTCCAATTCTTCTTCCAAGTACTTCTCATTTCTTTCTTTTTACAGGAAAACGCAACAGTGTTAATACTTATGTGCTCAATTTATCTTCTTAATCCACTCTCAGAGCTCCTGTCAAAGTCAGTGACTCCACACTGCTAAATCCAATAATCAATTCTCGTCCTCACTTTACTTGACCGTGCCCTGTCTGGCACAGCTGGTGATTGCCTCTTCTCTAAAACATTTTCTTGGCTTCCACCACAGTGCACTTGCTTAGCTCTCCTTATCCCTTTCTGGCTGCTCCAACAGTCTCCTTTGCTGGTTCCTTCTTTTTCTAATCTCTAAACACCAGAGTGCCCCAGGGCTCTGTCCTTTGCCCTCTTCTGGGCTCTACTTCATTTCCTTCGTGATCGCAAGTCTCATTCTCAGCTTGGCTTTAAATCCCATATATGCTGACGACTCTCAAATTCATAGATCCAGTTGGACCATTCTCTTGAACAGGTTTACATATCCTACTGCATATGAGACATCTCCATTTGATGTTTCATAGACATCTCAAACAAGTACAACACTGAGCTTCTGATCTCACCCCCTTCCTGTATTTAGTCTTTGTCATTTTGGTAAATGGTAATTCCCTTCTTTTAGTTTCTCAGACTAAATAGCCCGTTCATCCTCTCCCTCAAACAATACATCCAGCTTGTCAGCAACTCCCATTCATTGTACTTTCAAACTATCCAGAATCTGACCACTTTTTACCTCTTCACTGTTATGACCACCATCTGTTCCAAACCACTCTAATGTCTTGCCTAGATTATTGCAATTATTTAATGATGTCCCTGCATTTGCCATTGTTCATTCATGTTCAACAAAATAGCTGGAGTCAAATAACATTCCTCATCTGCTCAATACTTTCCAGTGGCTTCCAGTGCTTAGTAAACATAGCCACTAGATAAATATTTGCTCAATAATCATTTGTTGAATGAATGAACTTCTCTTCTTCAGCAACTCTGTTGCATACATGTGAACTCATGACTGGCATAAAAGGTTCTTCGTAATCTGATCTCTAACTACCATTATATTCTAACCACATCTCTACTACAGGAGTATGATGTGCTCTCTTATGTATCCTTGCTCTGACATATGTCACTTCTGTCTTCCTAGCCCATCTGGTATCCCTGGCAAAATCCTATTCCTTCTTTAAGTCTCAGCTCTACCACTACCACTTCTTCTGAGGTCTCTGGGGTTTCCCCTAGCTCACACTGCCCTGTAAATGATGCCTCCATGACTGTACTTGTTCACACTGTATGCAATGGTGTATCTGTTGTCTCTAGGTCACTGGCTTCACCAGTGCAGTTCAACCATATTTATTAAGTAGATGTGCTAGATGCTACTATGGCACTAAGGACACAAAGATGAATAGATATATGTATTGGGTAAAATACCACCAGGCACTTTACATACATTATTTTACTCAATCTTTATACAATCCTGTAAAGTAGGAAATAATAACCCCAGTTTTGTAGAAGAGTACACATAATTAAAGAGGTCACCTAACCTCTTACCCAGAGTCTGGATTATTATTTGCATATTAAAAACCCTTTAAAGTGACTTTGGAAGCACCTGGCCCACCCCTTCTTTTAGCTCTCAGTGAAACAGTACCTAGTATCTTTATTTTTTATTTTAGTCAACACATTCAATTCAAAATGAATAAATACTGTTGGAAAACATTGTAGGTGGTAAAATAAAAAAATGCACAAAAACTAAAGACAATGTCTATTTCCAGATATTACAATCTAGTAGGACAAAATACAATGTGGCTTTTAACAAGATTTGCTTTAAAATGAATGAGGAAATGTAATTTATGCTACAATTTGCTTACAAGTACAAAAATTCAACCCACATGATATCCAAGAAAAAAAAAATGGTTGTATCCAAGTAAGTCTAAAAACATATTCATTAATAAGGATCTACTTAGGAATAAAACTTTGGTTCTACATATGCTTTTCCTGAAAGCCTTTCAGGAAGAGTAACGAGGGCAAAGAGAAGCAAGCCATTGCACAGAAATCTCATTCTGAGGAGCACATAAAAATCACATAAGGAGACTGCAGGTGGATTTCTTACTACTGTCAGTCAGAGAACCCAGTTTTGCATCTGACCTCAGAGAGCTTTACTAATCAACAGAAATTAATAAAGGTCATCAGAGAACTACCAGAAGTTTGACAAATCTATTTTTTCTAGCCAATAGTTTTAAACAAATTTAATCCACTGTCTTGCTCAGACTCATGGCTTGAATAGAAAAACAAAACCTCCTTTTATCAGCTTGTTGAGGGACTCTTTTCAAGTGTCTTGTTATTCTAGGCAATTACTCAGTAAGTAGATCCAGTATACTATATCACTTTATTTATTTATTTATTTTTAATCCTCATCTGGGGACGTTTATTGATTTTTTAAAGGGAGGGAGAGAGGGAAAGAGAGAGAGAGAGGGAAACATAGATCGGTTGCCTCCCAGATGCACCCTGATCATGGATCGAACCCCCAACCTACATATGTGCTCTGACCAGGAATCGAACCTTCAACCTTCTGGTATATAGGGTGACACTCCAACCAGCTGAGCTACCTGGCCAGGATTGTATCACTTTAAGAGACTGAGTATCAACCTGAAGAATGTGGCTGCTCTGAACCCCTACCTTAGAGTGAGTAGGAATAAAAGGGTTGAGTTTTAATGTAGGGTTATTTGTTTGAGATAGGTTCCTCCCCTAACTGGATAAAAATCAGTTTCTCTCTCTCCTGCCTCCCCAACTAGGCTGGTTTTTCTGTGAAAGTTTGGGTGGCATCATGTAAACATCTTTTTATATACCAAACGAAAGGAAACAAGTTTGGTTTCATAAAGGAGAGTTTTTGCTTAAGTAATTCTTGAGCCAAAAGAACTGCCATTTTCTTAAATGGTTTATTCTGAGTGTCTAGAAAAGATTTCACTTCTTTTATCTACTGGTTACTTCATATATTTCCTGATATGGTCTCTTAACATGCAAAGCTTGTCTTTGCTGTTAATGTGCCCCAGTTAAATAGTGCCAGCTCCCTGTTGTGGGCTGAGCATGCTCAGGACACGAGGGATAAGAATTCCTGCCCTGAAATAGTCTAGTAGAAAAGATCAACACCAGAACAATTACATGGCAATGCAAAGACAATATACATTTTTGGTTAATGTAATTGCTGTTGGTTAATCCAACAGCTGGGAGGAGCTAGAATTTAAAAGGTTTATTTCTTTGATGGTGCACAGGTGAAAAACCACCCCATTAAAATGCAAATGATTTATCTTCTGCATTGAAACCAATAAATATATAGTATCTAGTGTGTGCTTGGCCCCAGGGATAGAACAGTTCTGACAGACTTAGTAGCTGCCTTCAAAAAGCTTCCTATCAAGTAGGGAAGGTCTTATCTTGACAGCAGTTTGTAAATGTCAAAGGTTTGGGGAAACTAAAATAAATCCACCAGCCCTGTGAACAAGAGCAGTATTTGATCCGAACTCCAATGCTGTCTTTAACATCACCTTTCTGGCCGTAATTCATGCTATGAGACAACGAAATCACAGAATTTTATAACCGAAGAGACCACAGAAATGATCTAATTCTACTAATAATGTTGCAACTGTGAAAACTGAGGCCCAGGGAGATAAAGAAATTTCCCTAAGGATATACACAGCTAATTAGTCGTTTCCACAAATGTGGTTTGAAGACCAGTCGCAAATAGCACATCTTTAAGGAGACTTAAAGGACTAAGAGCATCCCCCCCCCCCCCCCCCCCCAGTTCAGAAACTATCAGGATCAAGGCAAAAGGATATCTGATTTTCCTGACTCCGCAAACAGATCCCCTCAGTCCTGACGCTTATACTACATTGGGTTTCATCTTTCTGGGCTTCCACAGTACTCCAAACATCCCTTCAAAATTTGCTTGTAATTTTTTACTAACAGCTGTGTCTGTAGTGAGAATGAATGGAAGCAGCAACAGTGAGGGTAGAGAGACTAATTCAGAAGTAAGTCCAGGTGTCAAAGATAAAGATGGAGAAAAGGAGATGGATTTGCAAGTTTTAATAGGTAAAATATATAAGACTTAGAAATTGACTTATGGAAACGTTAGAGGGTGAGCCAAGGAAACCTGGCTACCAGGTTTCTCATTTGAGCACCTGGTAGAGATACCTGGTAGATGGTAGCATCTGAGATAGAAAATATTGATGATTTGGTGGTGAAGGGTGTGTGTGTGGTATGAAGATGAATGTGACAAGGATACATTTATTGGGTGACTTCTATTTGAAGCTAAATTCTACTAACTCATCTTTGGATATTAGAAATAGTTTTGCTAATCTAGCTATCAGCTGATGTCTCAAAGAATGAATATCCACTTGATTGATCAAGGTCCCCCCCCCCAATTGACATTCTTTCACACTGTTGTAAGTTTCTCTTCAGAAAAAAGAAATAAAAATGGGAAATAATATGATGGAAATGGGGATAACTGTATAGTACTGAATGTTAGCCTGTGTTTGATTTCATTACTTCAAATTGAATATGAAGAGGAAGAGATCAGAATTTAAGACCATAATTCCTAGGGGAAGCTGAGTAAAGAAAAGAGGAGACACGTGGATCATTTTAAGGTGAGAAGTGTAGCTAGATGATGGTTTTCAGGAAACTTCAAAGTTTCCAGATATTTGTATTAAACAGCTAACAACTAACTGATAGACTTAGTTCTAAATTGTCATTTCAAAAACATAGGAGTCAAATCACACTGTGAGTCCATAGAGAAAGGATCTCATTCTTCTATCTCCTGATTATCAGAACCTACAAAGTATCTAAAAAATGGAGGTAGGCTTGTTGAACTGAAATACCTCATTCACTTTCCTCATCCTTGATATATTTTTTATTATTTTTAAACCAGTGAGTGAAAAAAGCCTCATTCCATTTCTCTCAAGCTGAGAAGAGTCTAAAACTTAACTTTGGCATGGGAGTCTTCAGCCCAAAACCATGATGATATCTGCTGTAAGGAGGGAAATATGGAAAAACAACCAACCCCCACCCCAATGTATTATTCTGACGACTGCAAACGTCATTCTTTTAGAAATAATTAAAGAAAAAAAAAAAAAAAACAGGGGAAAATAAAAGGCAAACATAAACAGAGCAATTCTCAAAAACGACCAGTCCATGGAAGAGTCCGAACTGGCAAACCCTCTCGCACCGAGTCTGCTGTGGCTTAACCCTGGGCCCAGAGCATTTCTTTTGGCTACGGTTATGTCCCCGGGGATAAAGCTGTCCCCAACAACGCCTCAGCACCCGGGGCTCCGACTGCCGCCCCTGGCCTCGCCCGGGGGCGCTTGGCCGCCTCCCTTCCCCAGCCCCCCGTTTCGTCTCTTCGTTGCCACGGACGCCCCGGGCCAGAATCTCCCATTTCCCCAACCTTTGCTCCGGGTCGCCGCCTTACCACCCTCGACTCAGCCGTGGCGCACTCCTCCTCGAACCTCGGCACAGCCGCCGTCACCCCCGCCCACTGGCACCCGACTCCCTGCTCCGCGGACCTCGCTTCGGCCGACACTTCCCCGCCCCCGCAGCCCGTCCGCACCAATCAACGCCCGGCAAGAAGCCTGACCAATCGCATTCCCCTCCACAACCAATCATTACGCGGGTTGCCCCCCGAGCGACCGGCGACCGCGTCCTGATACCCAATTACCCGGAAGGAATTCAAGGCCGGCCCACCGTGTCAGCCAATAGGACCCAGGGAAAGCAGACTTTGCTAACTGAGAAGTGCACCTGCTTAGAATTAAACAGCCAATTAGAGGCCTAATGGAGTCCTCCCTGCCCACCTCTAGGCCAATTACCGGCGAGGGCCCCACCTCTTAAGCTTTGGGGTAAAAATCTGCGCTCCCAAAGCTGGGATCCAGGTGCGAGCGGCGGGCCGTGCCATCGTTCGCACAAAATCATTGTCTTAGTACAAAGCCAGTGCCACCCTACAACCCAGTGACCATTGCAGAAAAAGTCTCATGATGGGCCGTGCTCCGCTACTTGTTTGCGATCTTTGGCCACACCGTGACATGGGCTCGGGAGACATGGAAAACATTTTTGGGGGGTGGGGATGGGAACACAAAATAGGCTTCGCAGAGACGGAGAGAAGGTCAAGGGGAAGGAGCTGCGGGGCCACGAGCGAGGGCCCACTATTCCTCCGCCGGGGAATGAACAGAAGATGAGGATGGATGCGCAGCAGGAACGATGAAGGAGTTCTGAGCGCCGGTGGTAAGGGAGCTGCGGGCCCGCCCTTCCCTGGGGATCGAGGGAAACGGGTCTGGCGACGGGCGTAGCGAGCGGTTTCTGTGGGGGAGGAAAAAGGGGGTGGGTTTCTGAAAGCGGCGGTTTGCTTTGGAAGAGTACATTCCAGCCGCCGGCGGGGTCCTGAACCGTTGGGGACGGTTGGGCCTTGCGACGTAGCCCGTGCGCGGCGAGGACCCACGCGAGCGGCCCCAGCGCCCCTCCCCAGCCCCCGCCCCCGCCCCGCACCAGGGCCCACCCTGGGGATCAGGGTGGGGCGCTCCTTGTAATGTGAGCTTTCGCACTAGGTTCTATCATAGAGCCTGGCGCACGAGAAGCACTCAGTGAACTTGAATGAACGCAAGATTGTATCTGTGGTCCGCTAGAGAGATACCTTTGATACTAATTTTTTTAAATTAAAATATATGGAAGCTTTATTAATTTTTTTCTCCCATCAACATGCTTAGGCAGTGTGTTATCAAACTTTTTGATTTTTGACATTCTGATAGTGTGAACAGTATCTCATTGTAATTTTAATTTCACTTATAAGGTTGAGCATTTTTAAATATGTTTAAATGGCAGTTGTATTTTATTTTTCTGTACATTGTTCATATACTTTGCTCATATTTTAATATTTTATCTTTGTGTAAGTTACAAATAAATTTTTCTTTCCCCAGAGTGTCCTATGTCTTTTTACTTTGTTTATGGTGATTTTTTTTCTATACAAATATTTTTTATTTTTATGTAGTTGAATTTGTCAGCATTTTCTTTGCTAACTTCTGGGTTTCGTATCATAGTTAGAAAAGCCTCCTATTACTTAAGGTAATTTAAAATTTATTCTTTGTTTTTTATAAATACTGGGTTCACCTGCGATTTATTTTCGTGTAAAGGTGTGAGTAGAACTCTTTTATTTTGTTTGTTTTACGTGACTCTACTTATTGAATAACCCATATTTCATCCATTGTTTTTGAATGCTACCTTTATAAAGCTCAAATAGCCATATGTATTTTGTTCTATTTTTGTTTTGTTTTTTATGTTCTATTGATCTCTTCATCTATATTCTAGTATCATACTGTTGTTTAAAAATTGATATACATTATGTATTAGTTACCACAATGAAAAATGGATAGACAATATACATATAGAAAAGTGCACAAATGAAAAGTATACCTCTTGATGAATTTTCAAAAATGAAACACATTTGTGTAACCAATGCCTAGTAGGAGACAGAACATTCTGCACACCTGAAGCCACCCTTGTGTACCTTCCCATTTATTATTCCCTTTAAGAGTAGCCATTCTACTGACTCCTAACAGCAGAAACTAGTTTTGCCTGTTTTTGTTTTTTATTTATTTTATTTTATTTTTTTAATCCTCACCCGAGGACATTTTTCCATTTTCTGTTCAGGTAGAGTGGGAGGGAGAGAGAGGAAGGGAGAGAGAGAGAGAGAAACATCGACGTGAAAGGGACACATCGAGTGGCTGCCACCCGCTCGACCAACCAGGGCCGGGGACAAACTGCAACCGAGGTATATGCCCTTAGCGGGAACCGAACCCGGGTCTCTCTGGACCGCAGGCCGACGCTCTAACCGCTGAGCCAAACCGGCCAGGGCTGTTTTTGTTTTTTATATGAAGAGAATCATACAGTATGTACTGTGTCTGGCTTCTTTTGTACAATGTTATTTTTATGAGATTCAGCCATATTGTTGTTTGTAGTTTTAGTCCATTTATTCGCATTACTGTGTAGTAGTATATTGTGGGAATATACCACAATTTACTTCTCAATGTACTGTTAAGGCTGTTTTGATTGGAACACATATTTTTAGATTACCCACGGAAGAATTATTATATAGAATATTCCTATATACATGTTTAAGTCATTGATGTCCAATCAACAGTGTTTTAAAGATTTTGTCATATAGAATTTACGTATTTCTTAAGATCATTCCTTGGTATTTTTTTATTTAAAAAAAAATATTTTTTTCTTTTTTGATTTTAGAGCGAGAGAAAGGGGGGGGAGAGAGAGAGAAAGAAAGAAACATCAATGAGAGAGAACATCAATTGGCTGCCTCCCACATGCCCCCCTCTGGGGATCGGGCCCACAACCGGGCATGTGCCCTGACTGGGAATCAAACCGGTGACCTCCTGGTGCATGGGTCAGTGCTCATCCACTGAGCCACACCAGCTGGGCCCTTGGTATTTTTTAAAAAATATTTTTTCTTTCTTGAATTTTTAGAAAGAGGAAAAGAGAGGGAGAGAGAGATAGAAACATCGATTAGAGAGAACATCGATGAGAGAGAACGTAGATTGGCTGCCTCTTGCTCGCCCCCTACTAGTAATCAGGCCCACAACCTGGTCATGTGCCCTGACCGGCAGTTGAACCGGTGACCTCTTGGTGCATGGGTCAGCACTCAATCACTGAGCCACACCAGCTGGGCCATTCCTTGGTATTTGAGTGCCTTAATTGCTATAGTTATTTTTACTTTTGAAAGGGTAAAAGACTTTTCAGACCAAGGAAGAATGTCCACTGTTGCTATAAAAAGTACAGACCTGCTTTATGGGCCCATCATCTTCCAGCTCCAATGGGAAATGGTAGGCAAAAAGAGGAAATGAAATGGAAGTCCAAAAAGAGGGATTAAAAGTTAAAAATTAAACCACAGTAGGAACTTCTTAATAAGAGTAGTGTAAAGCAGGTATAATAACCTTTTCCTGGAAATTTTTTGAAGGAGGGTAGATTTCTAATTGGTTGGGTAGGGAGGTTGGGGAAGTGATTCCAAACTCACTTTCAAGCCTCTGTGTATTTGGGATTTGTCATGTAATTCCCCCTCTAAGAGCCCAAATCAGGATTGAAAGATTGAGTTGTGAGAGGCTGGCACTGGATGAATTGTCATTTTTAAATTCTCATCCCTAGTTTCAAGGAGTCCATTCTCTTTCCTTGAAGGATTTTCTGAACAGCGTGCAGGAGGCAACAGGTGAAACTAGTTAACATAAAGTCTGGGTTGCCTTTCAGTGGGCAGGTGTTTCTACTCAACAAGCCAAGTTGTGAAAGTAGACTTAGCTAGAGGGCTGGGCAGTGCGGGGTTCTCAAACACAGCAGCCTGGTTCAGCTTTGGCTGATCAGAGTTCCCTTCCTGGACAACATGCAAACAATCTGTACAAGTGATATTCAGCTGTCTGAGTGTTTTGGAAAAACACTTTGCCCATTTTAGGTGTCAGTCCTTCCTTCCCCATCACTCAAGGCTCTTTACCAGAAACCAGCAACTAGGAGCATGGGCCATATTATCAGAAATTATGCTGGTGCTACTCTTTAGTCTTTAGATTAGATGAATGAATTGTGGCGGGTGTTCTAAGAGAGAGAGAGAGACATTCTCCTCTGCCTTTCTAGCCACAACCATCCAGCTCTAAGTCTTCCACTTAATTCCCCTTACAGAGGAGTTTGGAGGAGGAGGACTCAGGAGTCTCTGACCTCAGTGCTCTCCAGTCTGAATCACCACCACACTCACTTCTTAGAGCAAAAATCTGAGCCAAAGTTGCCTGCCTCTCTCTCTGAGAGATGGGTGCTGATGAGAGAAGGAGAACTGGCAGGGGAGAAGCTGGAAGTAATAGTATATTATAATGGGGTTCATCCTACCATCTGCTCTTACCTGTGTTGACATCTGCTTCACACCGTAGTCCTTCCCAGCCTTTTCCCCTTGCCTCTCGTGGACCCTGAGGAGCACAGGCAGCCTCAGCCTCAGCTTTTCCCCTGCCACTGAGGCTTGTCACAGCAGAGGTTCTTTACCTGTATTCTGTGGGATCTGTGATGGCTTCAGGACGACTGTGGAAAACGTATAAACATTTTGTTCATAGCCTGCATCAGAGGGATCTGTGATTCAAAAAAAGGTGACAATCATTGCCTTGCTAGCTTCTCATTCCTTTTTTTTTTTTTTTTTATCCTCACCCGAGGACATTTTTTCTATTTTTTGTTCAGATAGAGTGTGGGAGGGAGAGAGAGAGAGAGAGAAACATCGACGTGAAAGGGACATGTCGAGTGGCTGCCACCCACACGACCCAACCAGGGCCGGGGACAAACTGCAACCGAGGTACATGCCCTTAGCGGGAACCGAACCTGGGTCTCTCTGGACCGCAGGCCGACGCTCTAACCGCTGAGCCAAACTGGCCAGGGTGGCTTCTCATTCCTTGAGTCAGGGACTCAGCACAGCAAAGGAAGCAGAGAAATTAAAGTATATCAGGGACCAACATGCGGAGTGCTGAAATGCTGCCAGGGTATCTTTGGGTCCCAA